ATGAACTTCAAATATTTTACTTGATCTTTGATATCATCACATCAGCTAATTCATCAGGAAATTCAACTCCCTTTCCAATTCAGTCTTTTCCTGATAAATTATTGTCTCAGATATTGAAACCAACCAACGGTGATGGTAGTGGTAGTGGTGGTGGTGGTGGTGGTGGTGGTAATGGCTGCGGTGAAAGTGGTGGAGGAGGATCTGGTAATAGTGGTAATCCTGATTCTAGCGGAAGCAGAGGCCATGGCAACAAGGGCACTGACAGAGGAAGTACTAGCCATGACAATAAGGACACTGACAGAGGAGGTACTACCTTTTAAACTTTTGCTATTTTTGTTACTTTCAAAAAATTATTCCGTTGAAAATTTAGATTCAGATAAACAATAGAAAGCGAAATATTGGAAGAGTTTTAGAGCTCGTTAAAAGATAAATGAAGTATGATAACGCTGATAAGCCTATCACAGGTACGAATTAATGAATGTTCAAGAATATTTCTTAAAGTCTTTCTTTTTTCCTACTGCCAATGATAATTCAGTATGACAAAAAGTTAGGTAAAATCAATCAAACTTTTTATGTTGATTTGTTTTAACAATTCTCAATTTTTAGGATATGGTGGTGGCTATAGAATGAAAAGACGTTCGAACGATGTAAAGACTGAATGGACGAGTAATGAGATTGATGACAGTGGCTTTGGTGATAACAGTAATACAAGCAATAGGAGTAACCAAAAAAGCACTAATTATACCGATAATAATAATGATAGTAATAATAGTAGTAGTATCAGTAACAACAATAAGAACGAATGCAGTGATGAGCGATGCAAACTACACTACTATTATTTTGGGCATCTAATACCATCAGCTTTTGGGATACCAATATTTGGTCTTCTTCATTTCTAAAAAATGTACAACGGGTATATTTGTTTTAATTGAAGCGAAGAAGTCAAAAAAGTAACATCGGAAAGTATCAGTATCAATGAGCTGTCCGATAAGCAAATATCTCATTTATCATCAAATGATGCCCATATTCTAAACAACAACAACAACATTATTAACAGTAAACTAGAATTTAAATATGTGAAAATTATTTAATTTTACATAAGGAATATTTAGTAGATTTCTGGCGTAAATATTATGTGTGAAATGAAAGTGTCATTAATATGATAATTATTGCATAACATTTTTTCGATATATTTCAAAGTTGAAGAATAAGTCTCATTCTCGATTTAATTTGAATTAAAATTTAATTTTAAAAGTTAAACTTCATTTGCATTTTCAAGAATAAATCTAATTCTCGGCTTAGTTTGAATTAAAATTTAATTCTGAAAGTTGAACTTTATTTACATTTTCAAGAATAAGTCTTATTCTCAGTTTAATTTGAATTAAAATTTAATTCTGAAATTTGATCTTCATTTGCATTCATGCTTATTATTTTGAAGCTTTCTTTAACAAAATTATTGGAAATTGATTTCAGAATTAAAATACTAATATTAGATGAAGGAAGAAAAAGGAATTACAAATTTTGAATAACGAACATTTTCGTTTCTTTCATGTCAGAACTTATAAAATGGAATTTATCGATAATAAAATATTTTGTTTTCGCTTCCGGTAGATCGCTTTTAATTCGTATAAAACCAGAATTGATTAAAATGTTGCATGATATAGTTAAAATTAAGAATAGTTAAATAGTTAAAAATAGTTAAAATAAAATATTTAAAATTAAGCAAAAGAATATTTTTGTACCTAAAATCATTCAAATTAGCCTAATTATATAGATTTCAAAAGTTTACATATTCGAAATGTAAATGCAACATAATTTGTATAAATAAATAATTTGTTATCGTTATGCGAATGCATAATATAGGAATGACCTTTGACAAAAGGAATAGGGAATAACCATTAACAAGAGAATAGGAAATGACCCTTGTAAAAATGTAAAGTGAGAGAAACAAAAATTGTGAATTTTTATTGAAGAGATCAGAGATCAGAGGAAAAGTTAATTATACAGCTTTAGTTAATGTCCCTAAAAATAGCTGAAAAACACATAAATAACTATATCTTAATATCTTTTCTGTCTTTCCTTCTCTCAAAAAACAACAGTCTTTTCTTTTCATCGATTAAATGTCATACAAAAGGCACCATTTGGCGATATTTACATGAATTGAAATTTTAAAACAAACAAAAGATCTTTTGCCATTAATCATCATCTGTTATAACATTAGGAATTTTGCAAATTTTAATCTTAATTATTAATTAAACTTGCTTAATTAAATTTCAATTAATTTAATGTAACTGAAAAGTTTAGTTTAATTTAATTTAAACAAAAAGCAAAGATAGCGCGCAGAGGAATGAAATAATATAAAATTGTAATAAAAGAATAACGAATAGTTGGAATATATAATAAGTTCACATAATTCTTCTTAATCCCATTCAATTGTTACGAATTATAGCTAAATGAATGACCAATGGTGATTTTGATTGACCATCTATTCAATTGTTACAAATTGCAGCTAAATGAATGACCAATGGTGATTTATCTCCTTTTAAATTGAACATACTCTTTTTGAGGAAAATTTAAGTTTTATCAATGGTGATTTTGAATGACCATCTATTTAACTGTTACAAATTATAGCTAAATAAATGAATGACCGCTGGTGATTTTATCCCTTTTTAAATTGAACATACTCTTTTTGAGGAAAATTTAAGTTTTATCAATGGTGATTTTGAATGACCGTACCTATTCAACTGTTACGATTTGTACTAAATGAGTGACCAATGGTGATTTTATCTCTTTTTAAATTGAATATACTCTTTTTGAAGTTATTTTTTGTTCTCGAGAAATATGAGTTCAAAGCTTTCTCGCAAATATTTCCTATGATTTTTACATTTTATCAATAGTGTTATCAGTTGCACTTGGTAATTTTACTAATGAATTTATTCTTGATAGATATGATAAATAAAGTTGAATTATAACGAGTGATTATCAAATCATAACAGTTCACTTGATCAAACATCTAATAAAATATCATCAAATTATAAGATGCTTAAATAGCTTTAATGATAATGATAAGAACAAATAAGAATAATCTATTTAACTATTATCCGATTGATAAGACTATTTGCCTATCATTGATAAAACTATTTTCGCATTCTTGTAACATGTGATGATGTATCGTTTCCCATTTTATCAATAGTGTTATCAGTTGCACTTGGTAATTTTACTAATGAATTTAGCAAACTATAGCAAACTTGAAAAATTAATTAATTAGGTTAATTACTTAGTTCGAATTATCTGTTAATAATGTGAAATCATTCATGAATGACCATAATAATGTCTTATTGATATCATCTTCCCACTAATATGAAAAGAAACTTAACAGAAAGGTAACAATGAGCAATAGTTAAATTGTGCGCAGTTCGATACCTCCGTTGTTTTTCCACCTTCTGTTAGAAATAAATAGTTGGAAGTGATTAGAAGTACTTTTAAAAAAAAAGTTACTTCCAACTTGTTATTCCCAAAATCCTTCTTTTCTAATGCTAATTGAAAAAACTTATATCCTCCAATCTGTCATTCGCCAATTTACCTGACCGATGACCAATATTTTCAGACAATATTTTAAAGAGAAGCATTCAATTACGATGGCAAACTGGAGAAATTCATTCTGCTCCATTAAAAAAGTGATAGACGTTTCACCTCCATTTACAATTCCAAATCCCTTCATATTTCTTTTTTCAGATATATCACTAGTGATAGAGCTAAGTGGAGTAGGCACAAGAATTAGTCAAATATCTTTTGGTGACTTGCCATATTTTGCTAGCATTATCAATTTGACTTCATAGGATCTATTCGTTGGATTCATTATCAAAACCAGGGAATGCATTCGGTTGTAGCATTAAGTACCATAGAATTATCAAAATCCATCTCCTTGTCGTGGTTTTTTTTTTTTTTTTTGTTGAGAATAAGAAACAATCGAATGTTAAAATAAGCCATTCTAATCATCTTTGTTTATTAATTAAAGATGACAGCTCTACTGAATTCCCTCATAATATTTTTCAAATGTATTAGTTTTAGAATCCTTTGAATTTTTGCAAACTTCACATCATTATCATCTTCATATCACTTTTTTTCTTTATACATAATAGTTGTGATTTTTGTGATTCTCTTTGGATTAACATTTCGCTGCTCTGGCCTTCAATTCTACTGATATATTTTGAGCAAAAAAGATCGATAACAGCAATAATCAAGATTATTTTAATGAGCAATAGACATTAAGCATTTCAAAAATACAAAAACACTATCTTTCATTGTTAAGAAAAATAAATTTAAAGTCTAGAAAGAAATTTACAGAGAAAAATATGTTTTGACTGAAACAGCACATTATCTTTTTCAAATATTAACTCTTCTGTTGCATATGTACATGAAATTTCACAGCTGGCATATTTTCCACCGATGATGTAACTAACGTAGTGATACCAAGATTATATAGTGCACCTCTGTAAATAACATAGAATAAGCTTATAAAGTAAAATATCAAAATAAGTAATTTTCAAAAAAAAGAAAAATAATCTTCAAAGTAAGAAAAAGAACCTTACAATACCACATGGAAAAGCTAAATAGATAGCACATTTTTCCACATGTTGTTTCCCTTCCGCAAAATTTAAGATGAAAAATTTGTTGTCCTGTACAACGTAAACTCCCTGAAAAATATCATAAACAAACAAGAAGCAAGCCAAAATATTTCCGTCTTAAAATAGATTCACATCCAAACTGAAATGATGGAAGCGATGAAGTAACCTGGTGATTAGTACGCAAATTGTCCACCTGTCTGCCAAATACAGCAGTCCAAAATTCTTTGCAAAGAAATTTCATCTTTTCCAATTCAGTGATCATCCTAAAATATCAAAGAACGGATATTACAGTCAGGCTAGCTATTCAATAGAGATATATTGCCTAACTCAACTAATCTGAAAAAGAATAACAAACCTAGGTAAATCTTTAGCAATTTTTTCAACAAGCACGAAACCAACGCGATACCCAAGAGCTTCCAAACGTGTCTCAGCATTTCCCTGTAATTTATGATCTAAATATAATGAATACGCAAAAATACAATAGTGAAAAAGAAAGACCTAATGGTTCACAAAAATTCAGAATAATATGTAAATGCTCCGTTTCCTGCTGTGAAGCACCTGAATGAAGACTTGTTTCACCGACTTCAATTGTTCATCCAGTAATGACACTTCCACTTGCGGATTGTCCCGCATTTGCTCAATCCAATTCTTTCGTTTCTCTATTTGTTCCGCCTGTAGTGAATGATAAATGACCCCAATTAATGAAAAATCATAGATGAAAAATTTCATATCACAGAAATTTAAAAGACATCAAAGGATATCTGACTATTACTTCTACTATGCTAATAGCTTCCTTCATTTTCTAGTTATACCTATCAGAATTTCATTTCAATCTTACTATTTCTAAATCCTATAAAAATTACTTATTTCGAGAATCATCAGAATCATTCAAGAGTTTATAAGAGCATCCGGAAAATTTACCTCTCGTTGTTTTTCATATTGTATTATTTCAGCATGCAAAAATTCAAACGGAAAACAAGGTCCAGATACCAATGAATTCATCAAATCTCTAGACGTATTCCTAGGAAAATCAGAGAATTAAGGACATCGCGAAGTTTCCGTATTTAATCAATATCTGACCTGAAAACGATTGCCTTCATTTTTCAACGGAAGCAAAACGACAGATCCAGAAAATAAGCACGATTCCACAAGAAATATAGCTCCACAAAATCTCGAAATATTTTCACATAATTTCCGTTAAGATAATGGCTGTTGCATTTAGATTTAAATACTCGAAAAACCGATGACTAAAAATGATACATTTCGTTCAAGTCCCAATAAGAAAACATTCACTGTTCACAGAATTTCGCTTGGCTTGTAGACGATTTTCACCATAAGTATTCTCTTCAAAGAATAAATCCAACGATAGAACGAGTTATATATTCCTAATTCATAACATTGGTACCCTTTCCATTTTAGCAAAAGAGAAGGAAAGTTCTTGTTGGATATTATCAATTTAATTTTCTTTAGCAATGTTCATCGGTATGTTTCGCCAAGTAGATGGGAAATTTCATCTGCTTGAAATGCATACCTTTATCGGTAGACTTTTATATCAAATATTATAACCATACAATCATAGAATTATAAAGAAACAGATACTAATGAGGATCTCATCTGTTTCGAAAGAGCAAATACATAATGGTAGCAATCAGGCAAAGCAAGAAGCTTCAAACTCCTAAGAGATTCTAGCAATCATACAACGCAGTAGCGCAAAGAAATTAAGAAATTCTACCCTCATCTTGCGATAGTTGCAATGACCATCAAATAAAAGACCTGAAAAAAAACTGCACTTTGATACTGTCAATTTAATTTTCTTTAGCAATGTTCATCGGTATGTTTCACGAAGCAAATGGGAAATTTCATTTGCTTGAAATGCATACCTTTATCGGTAGATTTCTATATCAAATATTACATTCACACAATCATACAATTACAAAGAAACAGGTGCTAATGAGAATCTCATCTGTTTCGAAAGAGCAAATACATAACAGTAGCAATCAAGCAGAGCAAGAAGCTTCAAACTCCTACGAGATTCTAGCAATCATACAACGCAGCAGCGCAAAGGAATTAAGAGATATTCTACCCTCATCTTGCGATAGTTACAATGAACCATCAAATAAAAGACCTGAAAAAAACTACATTTTGATTTTTCATTCTGAGTGGAAAGTTGAGGAATAATATCATCTTTTTTTTTGATCCGTTATTTTTCCCTGATTTAGAAAATTTTTTTTTTCAAATTTTCTAAAATTTTCTTCTAAAAAACATTTATCTTTTCTCTGCAATGAAATAACAGGATAACGTCTGAATCTAACCGCCCCTTTCCCTTAACAATTTGTTATTCTTTGTTTATATTTTTCTTGGCTTCTTATGTAAATCAGAACGATGATCGATACTGTAACGGTTCGGCATTCCTGAAATTCGTTTATAATATTACCGCGCTAATACTAAGAGTGAACACATGGAAAATAAAAATCTCATGATAAAAACATCGATTAAATTTGCGATAATATAGTGACAATTGTCCCACTTACTTTTAATACGTGTTGAACGACGTGGCTTCAGTGCCGATCGAAGTACCATGGACGATATATTGCTATTAGTGGGAGAAGGCATAAATCGTGATTCCTTCAATCCTAAACGTACTGTAGTTTTTGGAAAAAATGAAGGGCTATCAATGGCTCGCACAGAACTCTTATCCATCTTCTTTTTTCTTGGGGCCATAGGCGGAAGCGGAGGTCTAGAAGGCGGAGTAACAAAATCCGCGCTTGTTGTCATATCTGCTACCTCCATGATCATAGAACGTTCATTTGCGCTCGGCTCGCTAAAAATCAAATTCTACTTTTTAATGTTATTTGTATTGCTTTTATAGCAGAAATAAGCCACAATTTCTTGACTGCACTTACACTTTCAAAAAGAAAGATCAATTAAAAATTATCTATTTAATTAGAGAGACAATTGAAATTAAAATTCGTACTACTGGAGCATGCAAAGTGATGATTGTTAATATCTGGAAGAATATTGGTTATACCTACAACTTACTGAGACCTTCAATTCATAAAAAGATAGAAATGATAACCGACTTGATGGTAACTTCGTTCGAATTCCCATGTCCCGAATCATTGTGGATTTCAGCAAAGGACATTGGGGAGGGCGTTCGCGGTGGAGTACCATTTGGTCCAAAAGGACTTATTTCTGGCAAATCTTCCAAAGATACTGAAAAAAGTTATTCAACATTAATTTGAATTTAATAAGTCAAACGGAAGAAAAAGACAGGAATAACGTGTACCCAAGACTCATTTAAACAATTAACTGACCGGAATCCACTGCTTCCTCTGTTGTTACTGTCCTTATTCGGCGCCGCACTGGTGAGTGTCTGGGTGTGGCACGAATAGGAGACAAATTAGAAAAATGAAGCGGTGAGCGTAATACAACCGATTCAGATCCCACAGGTGAAGAGCCAGATGGTGTACGCTCTCTTTCCTGTTCGTTAAGTATTGGTCGTGAAAAAATTCGTACAATGTTTTCCCTAAAAAAAAAACATTTCATTCCTACTTTCTAAGCACTCCAATCCTTATTCAAAAAAACAATTTCAAACCTCACTTTTCAAATCTAAAAAAACGCAATTATCATTTCGACCAGTTGCTGTTAAAATACCTTAATATCTCTTATATGCAAGATTTTTATAAGAATGCTACTCGGAAATATCAGTTGTTTGCCAAAATTTGAAAAATTTTATTAAAAAAGCTGACAGTTCATAAATAACAATTGAATGAAGTTAAACAATAATCTTTTTCTTACGTGCCAACGGATTGCGGATCACGATGAATAGGAGTACTCGCCCTGACATTATGAGTTGGCTCGAGAATTGGAGAAATATTCTCCTTGTTTTCATCTCCGGTATCACTTGATTCATCAGATGGAAGACTGAAACCACTAACCTCGTGTGATTTAAAGGCATTTAGCAATATCAAAATTCAAGTTATCAAAGCAGAACATCCAAGCTCATTCAAGCTACGATAATTTTTAACGAAAAAGAGTTATCTTATTTTATACTCAAAAAAGAGATCGAAAATATACCTCCTAAGATGCAAGCGACGCAACATAATTTCAGTCACTGAAATATCATAATTTGAACCATTTGGCGAATCCATACCAGTCATACGATTCACCCGTATATTCATTCCAATACCAATACCACTGTCGTAACTTACAGACCTAAAAATGTGGGATGCTGCAAAACGGCCGATAAAAGGTTTGGTAAATTTTTGAAAGTACTTTCAATAGAGATAATCAGAATGTGTAATTAAACCAAAAGATTTTTTTGTAATGAGATATTTTCTGCTTTATTACGTCTTCTTTTAATTGAAATTACATGGATATATTTTATAAACTCGGAAACATTTTGAAAAGTTGAATATGTATAATCAGAAATGAATAAATTCATTAACTTGATAGTTTCACTTACGTATTCGGATGCATCGCATGACCGGTGATTGGTTGACTTTCGATCAAAATACTAGTTTCATCATTCATTGAATTCAGAGAATCTCTCATTCGATCCATCCTCACTTGCCAATGTTGAATAGCTTTGACAGCATAAGATCTGTAATTGCGTTCTTAAGTGAAAGATTAAAGACTAAGTGCGGGAAATATTGATGGACAGTATCATTTCATTCTTTTTTGTCAGCTATGCAGTGTATATTGCGAAGATTGCGCGCATAAACATCATGCACAGATATTCTTTGTTTTTTATAACCTGAAGCAGGAAGAGAAAATAAAAAAGTTGCAGCATATTTGCTATTTGACTGTTCAATCTCATAATTAATTATTCTTCATATGCACTTTTCTTTCTGGGATGCATTCACTAATAATGGTCCCTCATCGTCTGTAATGCCCTTTGACCCTTCCCTCTCTATTCGCGCGCACAGCTGATACATGTGACACGATAAGCAATAATTCTGTAGGTGCAGAAGAATGCGCAAGAGCAATAGAATCAGAGATGATAAGAATTGTATGTACTACAGTGTGACCTGGGTGATTACAAATCGCGCGGGCTATGCCGGGAAGTTACATTCAAAAATAATCAAAGGGTCAACTGGATGACATAGAATAAAAATGTTCACTGAACATTTTCCATAAGAATCAATACTTTACCGTGAACACGACAACCATAAGTGAGAATTTACTACTCAAATATCATCTATAACAGTAAAGTAAACTGTAAACTGTATATGTCAATATTAGCTATACTAATGTATCCAATACTAGTGAGATTACATACAAGGGAAGCAAATGAAGAGGATTGAACTAGGAAAGAAAAAATCTGGATCAGTTACATTCACCTTTTTTCCTGGAAAATCAGTAAGACAAGTGATGCAACTACGAATTATGACCGTATAGCGATCTAAGCTGGAAATACTTGCCCTGTACTACAATTCACGATCATGATTCTCGAACAACTATAGAATTTCTCTTAATTATTATAAAAGTATAAAAAGGTAATGAAGAGACTAATTAATCTAAGCCAGTACAATTCCCTTCTTTTTCTTTTCGAAAAAAAGGAACATATCTATCTTGATTTCTATTTCTTATCATTCTTTAATATTCGCACATGTACTTTCTTTTCGCTAAAGTTTCATCCTAACCATCTTTCTATATAGTACCATCTTTCTATATAGTTTGCTGGCTATTTGATTAATCATTTCACATTTTTTAATTACGATCTATTTTTTTTTGCCCAGCTTAAATCAATCTAAAACAAAAATATCTCACTAATGAATATTATCAAGAAAAAATATTTCTTTCTCAGCATTCTTTTTTTTAAGACTTAATCTCATGCAAAATCATACCAGTTGACCACAGTAATATTAATAAATCGATATCTTTACCAAAGGCTAAATGATAGCTCGAAATTAAGAGATAAATACTTCTATCCTCATGTTATCTGATAATACTATAACTAGGAAAATTGCTACTATTAAGAATTCCATAGAATTTGATAGCGTTGCGAAAAAGATCTGAAGTTAATAATGAATGAAGGCATAACTTACAATAAGCAACAATTACTTGCCGACTATCCCCCTTCTCCTTATGCTGCATAACTGAGCAACAAATGATCGGATAGATGGGGGAGGGGAAAAGAAATGCAAAAAGACAGATACGGAATGTATGATTTCCACTCCCATCCACAGTGAACGACGACCAGGTAGCGACTTAGTTGGATGAAGCATAAACAATGTACTCCCGCCATCTGCTATACTATTGCGTAATTATTCCCTCATTCCCTGAAGTAAAGATGGGACGATATAACAATACGGTAAGAATGGATAAGCAGCAGAAAAAAAACAGATCAACAGCTCAAATCACAAGTTATAAAAACGAACCGTTTGCTAATAATATCTCTAATTGCCAAAACTAAATCGTTACAGAAATAGTTTAGCAAAATGAAAATAATAAGAAACAGAGTGTAAACTGAAGTCCAAACCAAGTGCTTCCTAAACTAAAGAAAACTGCTGTAATCTTGAAGCCCTACACTCGATCAAATGGATACCTAACTTTTAATATATTCACATTCATCTTCCTCCACTACTTACTTTTATACATATATAAAACTATTTACAACAGGCCTCAAACGACTTTTTAAGTTTGCTGTTAAAATATAGATACTTGCAAACGAAAAACCAGACAAAGTTTCAAAGTATTTAAAAACGAAGTTATGTACAAGTCATTTGTATAACTGTTCTAATTGTTTAATGCAAAAGAAATATAGTTTGGAAAATCACTCTTACAAATAATTCACAGTTTTGGACAGTAGGCTTCTCTGATAATTGTTTTAAGACCGATTAAGATAACTGACATGAGTCAGTTGATCCTCCTGTTGTTCCTTTTGAGTTTCGGACTTGACACAGGTGATGATATCATCATCGAAAGCAGAGCTTCATCACTTAATTCATCTTCATTTGAAAAAATTTTTCGCGCTGAATTCGATTTCTGGATCGGGCTACTAAAACACTTTACTTGATTTCATTTCTTAATAATTGGNACAGGTGATGATATCATCATCGAAAGCAGAGCTTCATCACTTAATTCATCTTCATTTGAAAAAATTTTTCGCGCTGAATTCGATTTCTGGATCGGGCTACTAAAACACTTTACTTGATTTCATTTCTTAATAATTGGATAGAGGATGCTACAACATGCCAACAAAAAATAAAATGAAATTTATGGGAAATATACCAAAAATCAAAATACATCAACAAACTATTCTCATATGAAAATAAATTTGGTATTCTCATATGAAAATAAATAAATTTCATGTTAATCCCAAAATTCTAATTTTCAAGAAAATATGAAAAAACCATATTACTTTAAATGAACCAAACTGAATGTTGTACCTTTCAAGCGCCAATCTAAGGAGTTCATTATCGCTGTCATCATCTTCATGATATATTGACGTTTGTTGCTTTCGCTCTGATGTAGTTTGTTTTGAATGCTCTCCAATACTACCGCTGCCAAAATTTTCGTTTATTTCGTTATTTATTTTTTGAATCAGTTGGAAGGAACAGTTTAGTTTAGACTACATAGACTGCAGACTTTTTCAAAGAACCAAATACGGCCTTTTTTTGACTAAGAGATGAATAGTGTTAGCCATTCGTAAACAAAATAAAAAGCTAATGAAAAGGATTACCACATTTATTTTTTCCGTTTAATCAGTCTTTTCAGTCTAATATTCTATCATTTAATCCTGGATTCAACTCTTTTCGTTTTTAGATTAGCTCTCGGCGAAAACCCACTAACAATTTATCGGGAATAGCTGGGCAGAAAAAGCATCAACTGTTCATAAACCGGGAGACGCAGCAACTCGAATGATTCCCTAACTGGACTTACCAACTTGTTCTCCTCGTGGATGAGAACGAATTAGATTTCAACTCGCTTTCCAACTTTCTGTCATCATATACATCGCTTTCTATCTTTGCTGCCACCTGTTCCTGAAGGAAGCATTGCTATTTCACTTATTTTAAAATAACCTTTTTTTCATTAACCGACGTTTGTCGCGCTTAGTCACTTTCATTCCTATTATAACTATTCTTCATACTTGCAATTCTTTGGTTCTGTAACATTCATATTATATCATACTGTATTTCAGGTTCCTCTCTCTCCTTCTCTAATCAAAGGATGCAACTATTTTAAGCACGCCGTATTTACTTTACTTCAAACAGTATGAACACCCTATGTGTGCCGGGTAAAGATGGTTATAAAAAGCACTGATGGATTTGAATTACAGTTGCAGTAAATCTTCGAATGATGGTTAACATTGGATAAAGAGCATAATACCACATCAAGCGAAAACATACTGCAGAAAGCACCACTCACTTCACAAGGTTTTTTCTGAAACGATGAAACTTCATTCGAGGCGCTACATTCTGAGTGTTCTAGAAATACTACAGGATTGGAAAGCCTTTGGTGTTGTGTTTGGGAAAACATTACTTTTTCTTGCTTCTCCTTTTTGATCTTATCTGAAAGTAATTGCAAGATTATCGACACCAAGACTAATTTCGATAATCAATTTGGAAATGGTATTCATAATATGCCGGCAGTTACGAAAACTCGAAGAGTACGGTGCATCTAAATTCAGTATAACATAAAACATCAGCATATATAAATAGGTATATTAAACTCTAGGGTCAATAAATTCTGATGCGCTTTAGCCCCAACTAAAATTATATCAGGCCATATTGAATTTCGTAAGAATGAAATCGAAACTTCACATCTATTCGGATTGATTCTTCATGCACTGTTCAAATTTAAAAAATATGAAAAGTTCAGTATCTTGGAACATATATCATGTCTGAAACACTTAATAAGGCTTGGGACTTAACATTATCTCTAATTATTAAGAATTAGTGGTGCTTCTAATGATACTGTAAATTTAAAGTTTATATTTGAGACTTCATTTATAACGAAGACAGATCAAACTCATTTGCACAATCAAATAACTGAATAGTGGATAAAGTCGTTGTCAAGAACCTAACTAAAAAAATCAAAACGGACAAAGTGGTATTACCGATAATTTTTCTAGTTTCTTTAAGAGATCTTTCGTAACGAGTAAAGTTTGCTAGACGTTCCGTCTTTTTATGCTCTTCTTCTTCTGCCAATGTTTTTCGGTCCTGCTCTGGCCTTTGCAATCGTTTCAAGATCATCTTTGGAGAAACACGTGAAAGAGCTCTGTACATTTCTGGATTGCACGGTGGTGAAGATGATATCCGCTGTAGAACAACAAATGATATCAAGGGATTTCAAAAGATGAAATTAAAAAAAATCATTGATTAATGGATTCATACTCCAACAGTCAAATTATTCCTCGAGTACCTAAACGAGGCTAGAAGTAACATGGTATATCACAAACAATTTAAAACTATCTTAAGAATTCCTTTCGAAATATCATATTTTTAAATCCACTAGCTACATAGACACCAACATTGTTTTACTATCTTATGATATACATTAAGAGGATGAACTTTACTACTAGTCTATCGAAGTATAAAAGACCGCGTATGAACGAATCAGAAAATAAGATCTTCTGCAACGGAAAATATCTTTCAAAAAATTCCCTATAATCCTACGTTCATTTATAAATCCCATTTATTTACCATTTCAACTCATCAAAAATCAAACAATCATTACCTTATTCCTTACTTTATGAAGTTGATCTGTACATTTTCATTTTTTTTCTATTTACTATTATCTCGAAATTATCCACATACAAAGTTTAAAGTCATACAGTTTTAGAGTCAAATTTATGGAATAGAACTTACAGATGCATTAGCACTACGAATGGTTTCATCGTCAAGACCTTGATCTCTGATCCATGGGAAATATTCGTCTGCTTTTTCTTCAAACCAGTTATCGAAAATCTTCTTCTCTGTAAATAAAAATAGTGTTTTAGCAAACTTCTACACAAAAGTAATTTTATATTCCAACGATCCCTTTCCTCTTTTAAAATATATTCAGTAAACGAAAACCACATTAAAAGTAGTCAAGAACATTAATTTCTTAATTAACATTAATAAAAAGATAACAATACATAACCCACCGATGTAATAAAAACAAAGAGGTGTAGTATTTATTTAATCACAATACCATTCCATCAATAACTCAGATCATAAGACTAACTTTTCATTTATTGTGATGATTTTTTTAACCTAATTTTTGCTATTTTCTGAAACTGTCCATTTCATATAAGAATTACCTTCTTCGGGTGGATTTACTCGTCGATGTTTATTTATCGGCGACTGTTGCCATGAATAATTGTACAAAGCTCTTCTGCGCCCTTCCATTACTTGCAAATTCTGATGACAGCGCAGAAAAGCATTGACGAGTACTAAAAAATTGAACATAAAATGAAACTTCCACTATAAAGCAATCATGAAAACTACGAATTATTCCATAGGTACACTGCCAACATTTTAACCATTAAGATGAAACAATAATTTAAATAAGAATGGATTAGACCTTACTACCCAGGTATTATACATATCTAAGCAGTTCACTGCACATGTTTAAGCAATCCGGCGGCGTACGTGTTTAAGCAGTCTAGCGTACGTATCTAAGCAATCTAAGTAGCAAAACATTCAAAGAATCTTTATAATCAGAACATCATATTCCGTTAAAAATGACGTATGTCTGATATGCCTGAACACTATATATTTACAGCATATGTGCATATGTGTGATACCACGTAGGATTCAATATTATTAAAAAGATTTGGATAGAATATTGATCAGCCATATCTTTTATCCCGTAACATCTTGAGACATTTTCCCGAGATGCTGCAACATTGATTGATGGATGGACGGGAAGTTTTCACGGTGAAATCACGTAAACTTCCGCGAATTTGAAAAGAGAACATTTAGATGTCATTTGCTATCAATTCCTTTGATATGTTTATTTGCTCTCTTGTCTTTTTCTTTTTCTACGGCAGTTTTTTCACATTTAACATAACTGTATATGTTTTAGGTTTCTACACGTATTTCACGTGTTTTTAAGAATCTCACATTTCCACGTTACTTTTTATACAACGTCAAAATTTCTTCAATGTTTCATTGAACTGTTTCTCATTCGTCACTGTAATAATTACCGGTATGATCTTTGAATCGTATGCAATGTTTCAATACAGGTGGAAAAGTGGTAGTAGCAATTAGATGGCTCATATGTGTACATCCATATGTGTGTACATCCATAGATATGTACACACATAACAGATTTTCAAAGCTCTAACTTTGTTCATGTTCAAATTTAAAGAATGATTTTGCTGCTATTGAAATGTTTTAAAATTCTTTTTTAGAAATTAAAAAAAGAAGCAATTGGAACTTTCAATTCCAATGCATTCGAATTCGTTCTCAATAACTGCTTCGCAAGTTTTTAGGATATCCTAGCTAAGATGCAACTTCTATTATTGATTACTTTGCAAACATAAGAAGATTCAATGAATCCAAAAATTAAACAATTCATTTTTGGCTGATAGATATGCGTCTTTCCTATAGTTTATGATTTATGGCCTGATAAGAATCAACACTAAGCTAATCTTCTTCGCTTACAATAGTGATAATAAAGAAACATGGAAAAAGAAAAAAGATTAAATTTCAAGAGGATATTATTTATGAATTTTTTCAAGTTCTATTATTAATTATCTCATACTGATAATTATGATATGTGTGTGTTGTCGTATCAATAGTTTGCTGATTGATAGTATAATTTTCAACTACTGATTTAATGGTTTGATTTTAATGATTTGATGATTTGATGATTTGATGATTTTTAATGATTTTAATGATTTTAATAACGATTAATGATTTAATGATTTTAGTGACTAATGATTTGAGGGAATATCTGAAGGAAGAACGCTTTATGCAAAAATTTCCATTTTATCATCAACAGAATTTGTTTCATAATTATTACTCTTGTCGTACAAAAAATGATTTTTTAATCCTTCGTTAAACTTTGCTTTGTAATGAAATGTTTCAGAAATGGTCCTGGATCCAGTTGATTTAAATCTTCCGGCATTGGCTTATCTTTGGTTTCAGGTAAAGTAATGGTCAGTGCTGCTGCAGCAAATGATAAACCGGCTAGAATAAATTGTGGTATTTTACCATCACCCAAATCCTGTAGAAGAGAAAAATTTCAATTTGCTTAAAATAACAAAACTTAAATTGACATCACACATATTTCGCTTCACATTGACAAGCTTATCCAAAAAAAGGTGAAATGTTCAAGTAAAGATTGTTTACCGTATATTTGAGTAATGGTGAAAACATAATTCCAATGCTTTGAGGTATATTAATTATTGAATAACTAATTGTTCGAATTGTTGTCGGCATCATTTCATTCGCCAATAATGGATGGGTTGCATAAACTACATCATTGATCATTCTTCCAAATAAGTTGCATGATATTCGGGCCCATCGGACTTCTGAAATTTGCACTTCTTGCTTGATATTTGATTAGAATGTGGACCAGAAAATTTTAAAGTTAGAGTTAAATGTGATAATGAAATTTTTTTCAGTAAATAACTGTAAATGAATTTGATGATGAATGAATGTATCAGAGATGTAGGAGAAAAAATTCATGAAATTATTATGCAATGTTGAATAAAATTATTTTAATTTTACAATTGATTGAAATCATTAGATTGAAATTGAATTTAGTGAATCTAAATGAAGTGGAATTAACTTCATATGGTCGATATAAAATCAACTTAATTGATCATTTTTAATTGCAGAAGATAAAATTTAATTTTTGATTTGAAACCATTTAATACCTCGAACGAATGGCGTGACAAGTGCGGCAGTAGCTTGCAAAAAAAATGATACACATGCAACAGAACGACGGCCGAAGAAATGCAGCAATGGAATCACAATAATACCTCCCGGTAATTCTGATAAACCGGATAAGACATAACCGGTGAATGCATGTTCAGTTAAATTGATACTATCAAGTGAAACAACAAAATAATAAAAATTCATAGCCATCCTGAAAAAATATGCATGGAAATAATGGAGATTTAAAGAAAAATTTTTTTGGAAAGAAATTTTGTGAAATTTGAATAAAAATCTTCACTCAAAATTAGCTGTTGCTTACGTGATATATCCGTTAACAAGTAGAAAATATATAATTCGTTTATACTTGAATAAATCACACAGAGTTCTTTCTCTAAATCCTTTCGTTGTTGTCTTCCGGATATTTTCCGACCGACATTCATTCAAATCGATTTCAACATTATTGAACCTAAGAGCAAATTGATTTGGTAAGAAAAGGTCATTAGGTCATATGTGACATTTGCAGCTTTTTGTGCTGTTCGCAGAGACTTTTCTGCCATAATTGTTGCGACCATATATTGTATAGTTCATACTATTGCGGTCAAAGTTTTTCCATCTTAAATTATGATGAGACAGTAAAAAATATATTAAAGCAAACGTTAGAAGATTTGATTTCTTTTTTTTGATTTACAGAAGTCAAATGAATTTGCGCTAGTTTATACCATGAAGATGTTTTAATATATTGCTGGATACCACGTATCCGCCGGCGTGATAGCATCCAATGCGGCGATTCTGGAAGTAACCTGAAATTAATGTTTCAATTTTTTTCTGTTTTTAACTAAATTTTTCTTTCAACAATAAGAATTTTTCATTTAAAAATCCTTTTAAATGATTGAAAAATCTGTGATTTATTTAAAGAACTATGAGCAATTTCATTTTTACAACAAGAATAGGTAATTAATTATTCCGGTAGAGCTTATTCAAATCACTGATTTTAGAATAAATTGAGAATTTTTATCTTTTAAGGGAAATATTTTAATAATTAGGAAGAAAAGAAAAGGTAAAAGATTTAGGCATTTTTCTAAAGAATCTTATGGTTTCTAAATTCAAATAATATGATCATAGTTCCTACCAATAATATATAACAGTTAATATACTCGGGATTGCTGATGCAAAGTATAATTTCCTCCAATCCTTAATGAATAGTTCGAGAATTCCCACATACAAATATCCAAGTATCCAAAATGTTATTCCAAATAAACTTATCCATTCGCGAAATGATCCGGCAACTGTTTCACAACAAAGAATTGAGCTAATTGTCAAATAAGACTGAAAGAAATTGTTTTCGACTTTTTTTTACAATGCTATCAATTTTCAAATCAATTTGAAATAGTAACAATTTTTTCCAACACAAAAATTTAGTTTATAATTCCACTAAAAGATTTTTCATGATAGGCAGCGTTTCCATAGGTGATAAGAAGTAAAATGATAATTTTTCAAAAATTATTTTAGGCTCTACATTCTAGGTTGAAATTTAAATGCTTTAAAGCGAATATTAATTTGAATTTCAGGCTTTACAATGACTTCAAATGTTTTATTTTTATTCCTGTAAATCATTCGTAAAATTCATCTTCTGAAGAATGAATTACATCAGCTGCTGCTCCTTCAAGAAATCGCAATATCACAAAGATTGCATAATTCGGTGAAAATACTGTGATAAAATTAAATACAACACTTGAATAAATCGAAATTAAAAGGATACGTCGACGACCATATCGATCGGAAAGATGTGATGCTATCGGTACAAAAATAAGAGCACCTGAAAATATAAAATATACAACAAAATTTGAAAATTTTTACAAAGAATTGATCAAAATAATTGTTGATACCAAGTAATCAAAAAATCAGTAATTAAATTAAATTATGCTCGATATCAGAATTTAAGTCAACAAAAATCAATTAAAGGTGTTGTAAATTAAATTAAATTAATTTTCCATCATATCAGATCAGATTAGTTTTATAAATAATAATCAATTAATAAAAATTAATTAATTTGTTTAATTATTTCACTTTTTTCGTCTCCTTCAAAAAAAGACTGCAGTATGTTAGTGTGAAGAAAATTACCAGCTGAAAAAATGGAAAATCCAGCTTCTTGTATAAAAGGATTGACACATAATAATTCGTACTGCAAAAATTGAATTCTAATATTTTCTTGCTTACTTTTCATTTCCTTCAAATTTTTGTCAAATTTTATTTTAGATAATAATTCTTTGCACTGTTATATTTATTGTTTAATTTAACTGATGATAATTTGTTTTTTAAAATAAAATGAAAAGTAAATATGATGAGTAGATACCAATAGAATAGTTGGGAAATAATAATTGATTAATTAATATAAATATAATGAGTACAAAACCTCGAAAAGTATACTGTATGATCGATTTGTTGAATTGCTGATAATTGATGTATCACTATTAACTGATGAACATAACAATTCATTTCCTGTTTTCAAATCTTTAATGATACATGGATCCATTGAATTAATCATTTTCATTCGCGTCTGAAATGAATTTCCTCACAAACGAAAAATTGTCGAAATTATTGTGATTTTATTTTAGCTATCTTATTCATTTTAATTTTTTAAAATATCCCAAAATTAAGACTCTCTCAAAGTTTAGGACTAAATTTTAGACTCTCTCTAAATTATGATTCTCTCTAAATTAAGAGTCTAAAATTAAGACTAAAACTTAAGACTCTCACTATGTTTTAACTTAAAAATCGATAATTAAACTTGCAATTATTCTTTTCGAAATGCAATTTTCTGAAACAATCTATCTCGTAATATCTTATAACGTTATCTTATATCTTATAACAGTTTTTAACGTGTAATATAAATCAGGTTATTATAATGATAACTTATTGCATGCAAAAAAAAAAATGCTACACAAACCGGATCATTAATTTTGCAAGTAAAATCGGATGGTTTTCGATTCACAAAAATCATGATAAATATTGATATAGCATAAAAAAAATTGGTTAACTGACATAATATATAAGAAATCATTTGATAACGTCCGTAAGTACCAAATGCATTAAGTAATTTATTTGCATCAAGCGATTTATATACTTCACTGTAATATCGATATCATTGAAAGGTAAAAATAGAAAACAAAGAGATTCCCTCATTTTGTTATCAAATAAGGTTGAAAGAAAGGTAGAAATAGGTAAGCGGCTAATAAATGAATTAAAGGTTAATTTCAGAAATTTTTTTGAGAGATAAATCTTTCACAAATTCCAAAATAATTGAAAGCATTTTATACTCATCTATTTGAACTTACAGTTCTTGTTCCGCTTCACCTGACCATTCATCGGCTTCTTTTGGTAATGATGTACCCAATAGCTTATATCCATCTTTAAAATTGCTAATAAAGTAAAAGTAATTTAATTGATTGAATATATTCGAATTAAGGAAATCATTCAGGTAATAAAAAATTATCATTACCTTTGATCATCGCTTGTAGAAAACCGATGGAACGCTACTATGATTTTATCAAAATTATAAAATAATTAACGAATTTTTCATTCGAATATCCTTTTATACACACATTCATTGCACTGTCAACAATTAAAAAATTTACATTTAAATTTTTTAATTAAAATAATAATTAAATTTGTTAAATGTAAATTATGAAGATTTGATGAAATGATTATGTGAAAAATTAACTTGAAACGGTTGGTTCTTTTTCTTGCAGAATATTTAATTAGCACTTCTCTCTTTTTGTTTGATAATTCACATTATCTGAATTAATTACGCCAATAGTTGAAAGATGTTGCAATCATCATTGTTATTGAAAAATGCTTCTCATTAAATTTATCAAAATTGCACTAATGATAATTAGCAAAGCTATCAAAGATATGAAAGTAAATGGAATAAAATGAACTTCAAAAATTGATAAATTTACAACCCTTAATTTAGCACCAGGTAAATTAGAAATATCTGAAAAGAATGGTGTTGGTTAACTGTTAAATAATTCTCAGCGTAATCTTTGTTCCACTAATTAATTTTCCGATATTCAGTATTGGAATTAAAATTAATGAAATTTTACGCTTTGAAAGTCTTGTGGTCATTAGCTGTAAGCAATTTAAAAATGTTAGGATAGCGAATGGACAATTCCTAATTAATATAAATACGGAAAGTAACAAATTTTTGATCAGAAACTTGCGGAAGAATAAAATTTTTATCATTTGATAATTTTTCTAAATCGTTTAACAGCATTTTTTCTAGCCATATTTGATAGAGTGACCAGTCAACTACCAGTGCTATCATGGGTTGCAGTCGATCCAGAATTTATCACGATACTGAAGTGGGTATTGATCATAAAGATCTTAAATTGACAACATTTGAAAGGCAAACAGATGATATTGTTTTTGATTTGGATACAGATAATGATCAGCGTGGAAGGATTGCGGTCGATTGTATTTTTAGGCCTACCAGGTAAATGAAATAATAAAGTAGATTTTATTAAATAAAAAGGAAATAATTAACTTGTTTATTTTGAATTTTAAATTTCAAAATTATAAAGAATTCAAATATTTTGATCAGCATTTTGAAATTTCAAAAATTGCAGAAAGAAAATTTATTATAATTAAATGATAATAAAATTTTCATTATAGAGAAATTTATGGACAACGAGCATCAGATATGATTGAACAACAACTTATTGTATGGTCAAAATACGGTTAAATGTTATTTCAATTTTAATCTTATTTTTAAGGAATTGAAATCGTTATTAAAATTTTCAGGAATTGAATGTCGCAAATTTATATATATATATAGACTAATTGTAGGCCCAAATTTATATATATATATATATATAGAAACTAATTGTAGGCCAAATATATTTATATGTAATTCAATTCAACAAAAAATGTAACGTAATTTTAGAATTCGAAGGGAAAATTCATCTAATAAATTCAGGAATTAAATTTCGAAAACGACCATTTCCACATGATTTTCCGGCATTCGCACATGAAAAACCAGCAGCTGAATTAGCGCAATTAAGTCGACTTCATCTCTCAAATCAATTGTTGCAAACACCTGCCGAAAGTACCGGTTTGACAAAAATTCGCGAGACAAGTGAGAAAGAAATTATTGAAGATATTGCAAAAAAGAAATGATACAAAAAATTTTTCAACTTATTAATTTAATTAACATTTTATAATTTCAAATACATTTTGAAAATTGTATAGATGTAAAAAAAGATTTCCAATAAATTGTTTACTTACAAAAAAAACATATTTCAAAGTCGAAGATGAATGAAAGAGGTCATGAAGAGGTCATATAAACAGAAATAAGAGTGGCATGAAGGATGGATAGATCCATATGTGACATTAGTATTTCAATTTAGCAAACTATTAGTATCCTAATAAAGTTTAATAAAGGATACTAATAGCGCCAGCTATTTTTTTACCTCATTAGGCCTTACTAGTTAAACATTAGTGTAGCAAATTTTAGTTTCAAGCATCTAGTAATCCCAATCAATACTTGATTATTCAAAAAATTTTTTACCTATTAGGCTAGGCTGTCCGATCAGTATTGACTGAAATTACTTTGGTCAAGAGTACTGACTGGAATTAGTTTGACAGCTACCGAAATATTTCGGTGGCTAACAAACTTGGCCATCTGACTATTCAAATTCTTCGGTATCTAAAAAAACCTTTACACTACCATAGAATTGAATTTGTAAAGACTCAAATCATCCTCAACTTTATACAGCCAAATTTCCCAAAGCTAAACGAGGGGAATCGATTAGACCGCAGTAAACGGAATCGGCGCACGCGTAGATTTCGCAATAGGATAAGCAATGACTGAAAATAAAAGTATGTTATCTGTTGGTATTTTGCTTTCAAAATTTTCTCTCCGAATAATCCGAGATTTCTGACAACTAAGACTTCTGCGGTAATCGATACTTTCTTGTGTAACTAACTGTTAAGTACTTTCTTTGAGATGTCAGAGTAAAAAGTAAAAAAGGAATAATATAGTTATGAAGAAGATTAACAATAAACCAAATATGCAGCAGTATGGAGCACGTTAGAAGTAAAGAAATGTTGCGATAGACAGAGAAACAAAAAGACTGATAGAATTTTTAATAGTGAAACAGATTAAGTTAGTGATGGAAAGAGAGATTATAAATAGTTGATTGGAGTAATCATTCAAAAAAGAAACCGGAAGCTCCCATAGCGAGAAAGACAACAGAGATAATGAGAATGTTGGAGGAACGATGATGTAGAGAGTGAAAAATTGATGAAATGTGCACTAGCAGAGATGAAGAATATTTTACTGACAGAGATATAGAAAATAATTTTTTCCAAAAATTTGAGATGAAATTTTTTTTTGTTCATCTTTAATGAATAAATAGGTAGGGATGATGACATGATGGTGAAGTGTGGTGACGGAATCTTTAGGATATCGCGGGATTTTATATTGGTGATTTCCTCTAAGTATTTTATGTCATATTTCATTTTTACTTAGAGAAGTTTTCGATTGCGTTAAATCCAGAGAAGATCATTACTCTTCAATGTTGCTCTTTCTTCTACACCACTCCTCGTATGCGTGCGTCACGTACTTATGTTTTAGCGCTAATTACAGCTAATTAACGGATGAAGTTTATGCCGTTTTCATGAATGATTATTTTTAGATTCATTTGTGAATGTGCGTAACGTTCGTTTATTTGAATGATAAAGCGATTGATGATCCGAAAAGTTATCAGTTGATTGTGTTAAACAATCGTGATGAGCTATTCGATCGACCTACATTACCACCTGCCTGGAAAGATGGTATTCTATGTGGTAATAGTATTTTTATTGCTCTTTGTTAAGTATGGTTTCTTGTCAGATAGTGCAGAATTTTCTTTCGCACGGAACTTTTCACTAGAAGTTAGCTCTTACTTATGGTAGCTAATTCCATAATATATGTGTAACTTGAATTTGATAGAAAAAGAATTTTTATTCTCACCTTTCCCCTCCCTCATAATTATAAGCCACCGGGATCACCGGAATCACATTGATCATTATGGTTCTTTTATTTTTTTGATTCACTTATCAGTTATTGTAGGTCGAGATCAAGCAGACCCATATGGTGGCACTTGGTTAGGCATGACCAGGAATGGTCGTTTGGGAAATATTCTTGCAGTACTTGAGAATCCAACCGACGAAGTATCCTGTGCGATAACACGTGGTATTAATTTCATTTATATGAAATGATTAAAGTGGGAGACTTGGAAATGATCAAAAAATATTTTATTTAGTTTAAAATCAACTCTTAAGAATATTTGAAAAGCGATCTGAAGTTTCGTCTCAAAATCGGTTTTTTAAATTTGCAAAATATTTTTGATCATGAAATCGTATCAGGCAGAATAGTGTACGAATATCTGAAATCCGAAATACCACCAGAGAATTATGTGACTGAGCAACTATCGAAGGAAGCACAACAGTACAATGGTTTCAATGTAATTCTACTTCATCGGTACGCAAAAAAATAAATTCGGTGACCATTTCGAAGGCAGCTATGTGGTAACAGTAAATTACATATTTAAATTTGCTACTATTATATTATTTAATTTGGAGGTAGTCATTGGTTTAGACTTTCGTTTTCATTAATAATTAAATTAGCTGACAGTAGTGGTAAGTCTAATAACGACTACATAACTATATAATTTTCTTTCAGTAACGTATAATAATTGTGACCTCGTCAAGCTCCTAAAAACCCATTATTTCTTTTTAAATATCAAAGTTATCATTTTTATTTAATTTGGTTAATCAATTGAATGATTTGGTATCAGTCTTATGATTTAGTTATCATTTTATTTAATTTGGTAAAATATGCCTATATCAAAATAATGAATGATTTCTAAGGAAATATTTTTACTGCCGGTAGGCAAGATGAAAATGACAGAAGGAAAAAGTAGAAAATTAAATCATGGAATTTATAAGAATCTTTGAATTAATTTCAAGTCATTACAGCTGAAATGTATCTTTTGCAGGCTCTTTAATGAAAAAATTGAGCGAAAAACATATTTTGGAGTTCAATTTTCTAATCGACATGACGGCCCAACTGCAGCATTTGGCTCCGGTTAGTGTTTGTTATCGAAAATTTTGACATAGTTATTGAAGACATGATGGTGATGATAGTGTTTATGTATGGATATTGTGAACGTATGGTTGTTTTGGCCTCAGGATTTCCAAGTTAATCAATTGAATGATTTGGTATCAGTCTTATTTTAAATTAAAATGGTTGAAAGAAATGTAGATTGAATATATTATTTTTTCCACTTTCTCTCACATTGATTAAGATTAATATTTCACCACATTGTTATTATGAAATTTCTTCTCTGGATCAGTTAAAGTGAATTAAATTATCGCATTTCAACAAATTTATCTTATTTTCAATATTATCATTTTAGGTGTTTATGGATTTGGAAATAATGTGCTGGGAAAGCCGTTTAAAAAAATAACTTATGGTTTACGGTTATTCGAAGAGAAGCTAAAAATTTTAGATGATGAGAATGTTAACGAACAAGAACTGATGAAGCAATTTTTGGATATTCTCATTGATCAGACAAGGTAACATTATTCGTCTTTGCAAATTCTTAAAATTCTTAATTGCTGTACGGCGTGCATCACAAAAAATTGTTTTCTAAGATACGTTAAGGCCATTATCTATATTTTTGCATCATCTTTCTGTGGCTTCGCGGGATTTTCTGTACAAAAAAATGGTGTAAAAAATATAGATAATGACAGAAAGTTGAAAAAATTTGCTTTCCGACGAACTAGCATCAGTGATTTAGGAGCAATTGGAACGGTTACCAAAATTAATTTTAGTTTTCGGTTTCATAAAATCTACACCTTAGTTCTAGATCTCAGCAATCCGTGGATTTTTTGTTTTTTATTGGAAACAAGTGTAGGAAAATGTCTCAGGGTTTATTTTAAAATGAGCGCCATAATTACTAATGCAGTTTATGGTTTATTAAAAAATATGCTGTTAGGAAAAATTTCATGCCAAGAGTATTAGTACTGAAAGTAATTACGCTGACAAAGTAGCAGTAATCATAGTTTATTGTTTAGTCATCATCCCGATGAGCAGCTCATTTCACAGAAAGAACAGGACAGAGATAGCTGCAAACTTATGTCACAGCTGTTTTATGAACTTCCGAAGCCCCTGCGATATGGAACCAGGTTTAGTTTATTCTGTGCTTCATTTCCAATTTATAAATTTGATTCCTAGAATCTTTGTTATCAACGCCTAAATATTTGATAATTTGTGGCTGATTTTTAACATTTTCAATAATTTTCGAATATTTGAAAAGTCATCATTTTCAAGATCTCATACCATTGTGCTAGTGAATGGTGTTGGCCGTTGCACATATTTTGAAAGAAGCCGAAAACAGCTAACTCCGGTATCTGATGTTACTTGGGATGATACAACGCACTATTTTGATCTTGATGACTTGTGAAGTCAAAGTAAGATTGTTTTTTGTGATTTTCGAAACCACATGAATATTATAATAACTAAAAGATCATACAATAGTGTTTCGGTGGAAAATAGAAGGAGTTTTATGTCGCGAAATTTTATGATTTTAATTTTATAAATGTACCGAGACATTTCCAGCACATGGTAGTTAAAGAAGTTCATGTTTTTATTAATCATAGACTTTTTTGAAAAGTTACTTCTTGTATTTGCTTGTGATACTTTCTGCTTGCGTCATTTAATTTGGTGTTTCATAAGCCGGTCTAATCAGTTTCGCGTCTCAAAAAATGGCATCATTTTTTGCTAAATTGAAAAGGGGAAGGGACAGGAGATATTATTTAAATGTGAATCATCGTTCTGAAAATGGTGGCATTGTTTTGCTGTGAAAAATTTGCCTTTTTTTGTTTAGGCTTTGATGGAAAAGGTCTACGATAATGATACTGTATTCTTCAAATAGAATTCCATTTAATGAGGTTTATTGCAGAGATACTAAGATGGGTTTGTCTCATTCCACTCCTCTTGCACCATGTAACGCCATTTTTACTTTCCATTCCTCTTATCTGATTAATAATTGATTTTCATTTTTAAATTCATGGATATGTATATAAATGCTTCTGTTTCTTTCCCTGTTTGATGTATTTCATTTTAAAATTCATTTTAATTTAAATTTCAATGGAATTCCTGGGGGATGATAATTGCATTATTTAGTGGAATGAACCGATTAAAAATCTCAAATACTTTAAGAAATTCCAAAGCTCAATACGATTGGCTAGGTCGGCATAGTGGTATCGAAAACATACAATTGATAGAATCTCCTTCTCAAATATTATTCAATGGAGAATGCGATAATAGAAATTGCTGCTACATATTTGACAAGATCTGTTACTTAATCTTTGTAAAATAACAAAATCTTTGTAAAATATTAGGGAGGAGATAGCATACAAAATTATATGTTATCTTATTCATGTAATACCTGTCTCAAAAACTTTTTGCTCAATTCTGATCAAAAGTTGCTAAATATAGTAACCAAGTAGGAGGAGTCCAGTGATCATTATTAATCATTGTTTTAATATAGAAACTGCAGAATAAAAGACGAAACATCACCAATTCTTTTGCGTTATATCCTCATTTTTCTCATTTTCCATTTGATAACTATGTAAGAAATCTGGTTTTGGTTGCAATACACATAGTAATACCATTTTCGTTGTCTTAATACCATCGATTGCCAATTTAATTGCTTTACTGGATGAAATGAAACTCCTTCTATTATACTTTATAATATTTATTTTAATGCTAATGCAATCATTAATAGTAATTCTTTTTTTAATCCATGATTTATTTTTACTACAATTGTTATATTTTGTGTCAAAAAATATTGTCGAAATAATTTATACTATCATTTATGAACAAATATCTGTGCTTAATGTTTGCAGGCATCTCAATCTTATTTTCTTATAGTTCAAGCTAAAATAATTATTATTTTGTCTATTATTTACGATTTTTTTAAATGTGCATAACTTTTGTGTACGTTGAACACAATCCAGATGCCAAATATAAATTGATTCTGCTGAATAATCGTGATGAGTTACTCAGTCGTCCAACCAGTATCGCCAGATGGGAAAATGGCATTCTTGCTGGTATTTTACGCATCATAGCTTTTTCATAAACATTTAATTTACCAATTCCAGTTTCATTTATATCTTAATGTTTATAATAATAATAATGTTTTTAGAGGGAGTACTGTAGTTATGTTCAAATATTTCGAAAAAATAAAAATAAGAAAAGAGCGTTAAAAAGGAAGTGAATTTAAGAGAATGAAATTAAAGATATATGAAGTGATCGTTGAAAATCTCATCCTATCCTAAAACAATCCTTGGAGAATTCTCAAACTTAGAATTTGTTCTTCAAGTTTACAAATTAGAAAAAAAGCTTTTCTAGGACGAGATGAAAAAGAAAGTGCACACGGAACATGGTTGTGTATGAGTGCTACTGGTCGTATTAGTAATTTATTAACGATCACCGTGCCCACACATCAAATGAAATCAAATTCTGCCACTAGAGGTCGAGTAATAGTATTCTGTCTATAAATTAATTTTTCTATTATTTTTATGTTTCATTACAATCATTCTAATTTAATGATCTTCATGATAATGTCTGATGATAGATACGATACGGAAATAAAATGTGATCACCGTCTATTTTATCATATTTACGTTTTCATTCTCGTTTCCCATACTTTTTCTTTTGACTTTACGACTAGGAAATCAAGAATTGTTAATTGGTAGCAATATTTTTAAATTATTAAATTGAAATCAATGCTTCCGGAATTTGACCGGAAATATATTAGAGGGTAAGTGATAAAAATTTCCTTCTAAAATAGAAGAATATATTTTTTAATTATGAATAAAGAAAATTGCCTTTGAGAATTTCCAACAAGCACTTCATTAATACTACTTTTTTCTTTGCTTCTTTATTTCAACAATTTTAAGAATTGTTCGAATGGTCATCGATTTGTCATCCATCTGAAAAATAATTGTAAAAGTTAAGTGTAAAATTTCAATTTCACTAATGGAATATAGTTTGAGAAAAATCAATCGAAATTTAAGAAAATAATATATTACGAGAATAATTGCCATATTTGGGTTTTATTTATGAGGAAGATTACTAATTAATAGTATCACAATGCATTTCTAGGTACATTGCCGATAGATTATGTGAAATCAAACAAAAAACCGGAAGAATTTTGCAAATCATTGGCTAGTACCGTAAATCGATACAATGCATTCCAGATATTATGTTTTCAAAGTTAAATTTTTAATTTAAACTTTGTAATTATATATTTATTACATATCTTTTTATATCTTTAATTATACATCTTTAATTCTATATCTAATTATATCTTTAATTATATATTCTTTAATTATATATCAAAATTTCAGAAGTCTTAAGTCTATATATAGCATAAGCGATACTGTCAACATCATTGAAAAATGTTAAAATGAAAAATCTCTTTTCATAATTTCAAAGTTTAAAAACAAAGAAATGAAATTTTGAATAATTTTTCATTTAGCATTCAAACCCATTAAAACCTCCAGAAATTAAATCATTCATTAGTACAAATGGTCTAAGTTGTTTTTCGAAATTTCTAAAAACACAGTTTTTCCTTTTAATTTGCGGGAAAAAAATATGTATTTCAGAAATGAATACGATCAGTATGAAATTGCCGGTCTAATGTATCAACCGGATGATAGAATTGAATTTACCAGATATTCATCAGGTTTGAGTTAACCAACTTCCATGTATTATCAATATTAAATCTTCCTCTGATTCATCTGACCGATATTAGATCTTTCTTTTTGCTTCTTTTAGATGACTCTTTTTTTCAATTTTCTTCAAATCATTCATTCATTTACAGGTATTCATGGTTTTAGCAACAGTCCATCATGTGAACCATTTAAAAAAGTGGAACGAGGTGTAGAAAAAATGAGCAATATCATTGAAGAAATAAATAATAAAAATTATCTGGAAGAAGAAATTATTGAACGTCTTCTACAGTTAGCTACCGATAAATATCAGTCGGTTTTTCAATTATATTCATTCGTAAAAATCAGGAAAAATTATTGCCATAGGACAGATCAACTAACTGTTTTCAAAATTATCAATACTGTAATTTTTATATGTTAAATTAATTTGATATCATAAAATTGATAATCGATCGAAATGATTGAAATTGATAAGATGATGTTAAATATAGCGCTAAAAATGAAAATCTATTTCAAATCTTAATCTGCCTAGCTCCAAAACAATATCGTTGCTCAAGTTCACCCTTTCTTTCGTACTATTGCTAAGAGTTAGTTCAGGAACACCCAGATTAACCACGAGTCCATTACATCAATGGTTTTTGCAGATGTTTTCCCGATGATCAATTAAAGCGACGATGTGGTCGATCTAATGAGCTTTGTAAGTATCGTACCGCCATCTTTGTCAAATATCCTGATGGGATTCCTTACGGTACTAGGTATGTTATTAGTTTATTATCAAAATGTAGAAGTCTGATTTTTTATCTTTAAATTGCATTAAAATTATAAGACCATTCATGAATTTCCAATTTTTTCAAACAGAAAAAATGTGATCTTCACACAATCCATTGTTGCTCTATTTTCAGGTCACATACGATTATTATTGTGGATCGTAATAATCAGGCTACATATTATGAAAAATCAATGAAAGTAGGAACGGGAAAAGCAAGTGAAGCCATTTGGACCGATCGCACATTCCATTTCGAACTCATTTGAATCTTGTGAAATTTCATTTTGAAAGCAATTTAAGAGCGTCAACACATTAAGTTTTTGCTTCTGAATTTCTTCTTTACTCCTCAATTAGAATTACGTTATGATAACTTGTTAAATAAATCTAATCTTAATGAGAAATTTCGACAAAGAAAGCAGTACCGACTTTCCACTACAAAAAATTTAAAACTTTTCCATACTTGTAACTTTTCAATGATCTGATAATCCTCTCGTGCATATCAGTGCTTCAGTAATGTTAAAAAAAACATATCGAAGTCGAGCAATTTCAATAGCAGAAAAAAAGCTTTGTCGAATAACATTCAGAAAAGCAATTGCCTACAATTTTTGATATTGCTGTGGCGCTTCGATAGATTTTGAAAAAAGTGCGCTTAACACTCAAAATTAGAAACACTGCCTGTGATGCTGTCATTATTCAATCCGTTGAGAAATTAGTAAAAAATACATGAAACTTATTACGTTCCTGTTCCCCTTTCCAACAATAAATAATATGAAATAAATATATTCATCCTATAAAAACAAACAAACTAAACAAATTAAACTGCCATTCACCAAAGGTTGAGATCTTAATGAGATTTCGTAACGAAAAAAATTTGACTTTCCAGATGATTCGAAATTTCGGTCAAGTACAATTATTCACTCTAAGATAAATTGTTGAACTCTGAAATAGTCTCTTTTTTTTCTCTTCCAAAACGAAAAATGATTTCTAGTGTAGACAACTGTTTTTGATAAGTTTTCGAGAAACAATATAAGATCTCAACTTGCCAATGCACTACTTTAAGCTGATCAGAGTTCGTTTCCAACTTATGATGAATATGACTCACAAAACGATTTCATACATCAGACGTGCAACATAGAATCGCAAGAAAAATGCTAAAAGTGAAAATAAAATTTGCAGTATTAGAAGTATTTCCGTTAATTTTTTTTCGTGAATTGGACCCGTAAATTTTAAAACGAGATTTAATAGCGTTAGATTGTTGATAACTGTCCACCTGAAGTGAAAAACGGATTGAAAGCATTGCAATAATTTTTCCATCTTTTTTCCACCAAGAAAAAGGATATTAACAAAAAACCGCATTAAAATGTCTCCGTCATCATCTGCAGTCATATCTTATAAAGTATATCATTTTGTGAAAGCGATATACATATCAGAAGATGAAACATGAAAACTCTTACCTCACATCATCCTTTTCAATAATTTTCTTGTCTAAGAAGCCGAATGTATCCAGAAAATTAAGGACTACATTGGTTAACGGTTTGAGGTCTGAAATAAAAAAATGTATCAGTAATTAAGCCTACACTTAGCGACGATAGTGATTTAGTAAAGTAGGTATTTCAGTAAACGAATGATGAGCAACGAATACATAGCGAATATTGAAAAAGTATTAAAAGTGGAAGTAAATTAGTTGCTTTATCACAAAGCAGCAAAAAAAGGAATTGAGCACATAGATGCTTTAAAAGAAAATGCAGTGAAAAAGAAAATGACTCAAGCTAACTGAAAATATGACCATTTTCTTTGAATTCAACAGTGCTCATATCGACAGTGTCAGTTTTGCTATCATACTTCGGCAATCGATGACGCGGACAAGGGACAAGATGGAAAAGTTGAGGAATTGAATATATAAAATTGAAAATCTGAAAAGCATTAAGTTCATGGTTTCCAAGATATCACACATCAGACTTGATGGCATAATAAAAATGTACCATTTTCCTCTTTTTTGTTTGAAATACTGGTTCTTACTTTTATCATAAAATGCTGATATCAAATTTTTATATGTAATACCTTTTTTTATATGTAATACTAGTTTATCATATCTGATAACAATAAGTTCCTTACCTAAATCGAACGCTCTGCAGTAATTCGTCAGTCCAAAAATTAGAAAAAATTTTCAACTATCAGTAATGGACGTTTGATATGAATGTATAAACACCACTTGCAGACACAAACTGGGAGTAATCGAAAATTCAAGAAAATTCAACAGAGAAAATTCATTTGCCAAGAAGCACAAATTAAATTCACTAAACAAAAGTTAAAATTCTCATGAAATGGAAAAAAATTCGCTGTAGGAAACACAAAAATTTACCTGTGGGATCAAAAAGAGTGCCATAGTTTTGCTAAAATGACCAAGAATACAAGCCGAAGCCAAAGTCATCCCGGCCCAATAACAAAACGTATCACCAGCAAAAACTCGTGCTGGATACCTAAATACGCTGGATACTTAAATTTAGATCAACAATGAAACAAAGAATATACGAATTTAAAGAAAAATAACTTGATTTGAAAAAAGAACTGACATATATCAAAAAATAACATTTTGAAGAAAAAACGAATCAACATAATTACCAGTTGAAATATAGCAGAACAGATGTCGTCCCCAAAAAAGGCAGTAGGAAATATAGAGAAAGTGAATGATACCATGAAAGTGATGGGTCCAGTCGAAATAACTGCAAAAAAAGCTGACACAATTCATTTGGATCAATTGTTGGAATAAAAATAAGGATTAAGAAAGAAATAAAATAATTTGTTAGTAATCAATAAAGATGCAATTAAATGATAAAACATTAACTTTTTAAAACTGCAAGTAAACTTCCACTTGAACCTCTAAAATGTAAAAGGTGTGTTCTTGAACTCTTAATTTCAAACCAATAACTTCGTCTTTTCACCTTTTTTTCTAGCTTTAATCAATGGTTAGTAAAATTGCGGATTTTAAACTAGAAACTTACTTCGACCGCATTAAAAATAACAACGGAAGCCGCTATTATTAAAGCTTGTCCAGCTTCAAGCCCGTTAATTCCAGCCAGAATATTGATTGCGTTTGTGCAAAACACTATCTAAAACGGCATAACGAGCAAAATGATGCGATAGTTTCGTCTACTTTTTTTTCTAAATACAAAAACAGGATTCCGGAAAAATTGAACAAACTAAAAAACGAATTCTGAAGACCTACCATCATACCCATATAGACGTAGTAAAAAATTCCAATGTCGATGCATTCGGGCAGTGGAAATAAAACCCGAACCAAAGAAGGCAACACGATAGTAGCTGACGATCCTGAAAAAGGTGCCACTAAGATACTGCCCAATTAGTATGAAAAAGAATGCAGTACTTCCGAAATTAATGATAGAATCCCATGTGAAATGAAAAAAATTTTCGACTACAGCTCTAAATGACGAACAAACAATTCACCGGATACATAATATACAAGGAGCAACGGAAGCGATGAAAGTGTCGGAAATAAAAGTTTATGTCGCCATCGTAAATCCAAAACATCATCCGCAAAACCCAATAGAACTGCTGAACAAATCGCCGTTAGTGCTGATAAAAACATTAAAAATTTTTGATGTGGAATAGATGACGACCTGTAAATCCAAAGATGACTAAAGAAAATAATGATGCATAAGAAGTTTAATTGTATAAGTTTCATAATAATCTATAAAATTTAGCATGAAACTTACTCAATCTGCGACCATTCATAGACTGGAAATGGAATAAATAAAAACATAACAATTAAATAAACAGCTGCTGATATGACGCCAATCGGTTCAGGTATAGGAATATTGTCTACCTAAGACAGAAGATGTTATAAGTATAAAGAACAATAATTCACGAGCTTGAAAAGCTTGAAAAGATAAGATTGAAAAATATTGGAACAATTATGTTTCCCAGACTTTTGATTTAATTTTTTATCTTTAATTTCAGGTTACCAAATAACCAAATTTATCTGACTGAGAAAAATTCGGACTGGTTATTTTGTTATAATCAGCCAAACGCTCTTTCTGAAAAAGTTCCAATAGCTAATTTATATATTTCGAATCCATGAAACTACAAGATATATTCCTTATTAATAACCTATCCTAATTTCGAATATATCGGAAATGCTCCTCTTTAATACTCAGCATATTTATAATACTAAATATATTAAGGACAACATACCTTGCACTGATCCCTTCCATACATTTGCCGTTTGACAAAAACTGGAATATATTCCAGAATTATATGGTATGAAATATATGCGCCCACGCAACTCAGAAATATATTTACCCATAACGATAACATCACTATATCTACAATAGTGGTAACATCAGTGCAAATACTTACATTGATGACATCACCATGCCCGAAATTGTAAATACTACTCGAACATCCACTGAGAAACAGTGTTGGATGTTACCGAAATGAAATTAATCCCAATTGAACATAATTCCCTTGCTCCCATTTTCGAATCCATTTCAGCGCCCATTATTTTCCTGAAATCCAACTAAATAGCTATTTTCATTCATGTGTTAGGTTACATATAACAGATTCTTCTCTTTTAGTAATACTTTCACTTTCAAGTTATCGTTATGATGTTACGATTACATTTGAAGCATTCACATAACAAATACTTCTTTCTCACTTTTGACAATCAAACGATTACATTCAATTGCTCTAAACATATCATCTCGTACTGAACATAATAATAAATATAGCACTTTATTTAATATATTGGAAAAATATTATTTGAGAAGGATTAGAACGGTATGATTTCGATTTGGTATGTTTCACATTTATAGAATGATTAAAAGCAATCGAAAAAAGAACCACCTTTGAAAAAGATTCCAGCTAAATTCTCCCTCTATGCTAACAGTTATAGTACCCGAAAAAGAAATATGAATGCTAGTTTTGCCGCTTAATTTCTACCGAATGAATTGTGAATCAAAATATCCCTCACATCCCCAACACAATAATCACTTATTGTCAATGAGGGATCTTCATATTGTCCTTGTGATACTGGCAAAGTCACGTATTTTGCTATGAGCAACTCTGATATCTTGGTCTGATTTTGGATATTGTTAATGGATTGTTTTTATTAGAACTGTTTAATGTGCGCAGGCAGGTGAAGGCGTTGCGGCCATTTGGGGATTACATTAAGTCTTGCATGAACGACCTCACTGAATATTTATTTTGTTCTGAATTTTATTAGATTCGAGAGTTTAGTAAATATGCTGTTTCTCCTTTTGAGAGAGATGAGAAAGACCTTCGTAGTTCTAAGCAATTTTACTTGGAGAACAACCTCTTGGATATACATAGTCTCAAAAAGCACATAAGTGGCATTTATCACTATTAACACAACAATAGAAATTACCATTAGGGTGTTGATATTGAAAATCAGGATAATAATAAGGATACCATATAATTTTAAGCAAAGTAATAGTTTATTCACCATACATAATTGCCTCTCTACTGATGGGGTATTGTAAATTAAAGACTTCTTATGCATCACAATATATCAAAATGTAAATGAGCTTTGATGCATCAGGCTGGCTGAAAACAGTGCAGAGGGTATGCAAATTTTTATAATGACAAGTTGCTCCGAGTCCGATTTATGGCTGTTATAGTGTTTGAAACGAGTGACATGTGATGTAAAACAGTAGGAGACATTTATGCTAATTAAGTGAAACAATTAGAAATGTTATAAAATCTTATATATTTCATGAATTGCATTAGTTATTGCTTCCTGCACATTGTTTGCAGGTTGATTTGCTGTTGTATTTACTGGATATGAGACAGAGTTGTTACTGGAAAGGAGGTAACAGTAATGACAAATATCGTTACAACCGAAAGCGGTGAAAAATTCACTCTATTTTTCACTATACGTAGTCCGTTTTCCAATTTTCATCCCTGCCGTTTTAAAATATTTGAAGATGTTGGTAATGGCAAACCGGAAGAAAAATGGTACTATTCCACCGAACAGTACTACATGTTTGTTTTTTTTCTTACTAATAAACTAAAAGTTAGACTTTTTGCATTAAGTGATATGAATCTCAACTTTTGAATTTTTACTATATTTAATAGAATAGTTGGGAATCGAAAAGACATGTATATAAAATCAAACTTTTGGGAAGTAGTTTGTATATGTGTGTGCTATGTATGAAATGAAATGCTTCGAACAATTGTGTGATGATAAGTCAATTCCGGAAGACGACAAAATTGCTGCTATAGAGACGTTCTTCATGGATACATTAAGTGGACGTGAAAATGAATGTTGTTGCGATCTGTTTGCATATATTCTTTCTTTTTATCCATGCCCTAATCAACCTGTTCATATGGCGTGGTAAAAAGAAATTTAAGCTTAATCAAAATATTGCTTATGATTAGAGAAAGTGATGGAATGACTGAATATAGTTTTGCAGGTACCATAAAGCGCTTTCTGCTGGAGATAGTGAAACAGCAGAGCAAATAGCGAATGAACGTGATGCACGAAAAATCAAAATGATTTCACGTAACATCAAAAATTTTGAACGCGAAACGTTAGTTTGAATTTCACTCAAAAAATGGTTTTCATTTTAATAGTCAGTGTTTATTAATACCTGCAACTAGCAAGAGTTAACTCATTTATTCAGTGTGGTTTAATTTATGCTTGCAAAATATCATTTCCTTTATTGGCTCTTTCCAAATACTTTTCAAGTTTCATCAATATATGATAAGACGTAGGTGGGATGAAATTTTTTTTAATCATATTATTCTTCCAACGACAAATAAGTTCGTTAAATTGTTGCGAAGGCTTGAATTAATTTAGACAGTGTCAAACTTCACGCTCTGTTTCTTGTTACTCTTAATTTATTCTTATTATAAATTAGATGGAACAAAGTAAGTAGCGATGTGATGAGAAGAGGAAATTTTGCCAAATATACGCAGAATCCATTATTGCGGAAAAAGCTGTTTTACACATACGGCAGTACGTTAGTGGAATGTTCACCTACAGATCTTGAATGGGGCATCGGTAATTTTTTTCTGAGAATGTCAATTTATTTTTTAATAAGAATTTGGGACCAAAAAGTTTTCGGAATAATTTTTATTGGCACTGACGACATTAAAATTAGATCCATTGTTATAATATTTCAGGTTTAGATATCAACGAACCGGATGCACTGAGTCCATCAAAATGGAGAGGGAAAAATAAGCTTGGTCAAATTTTGACTGAAATCCGTGAAGAGCTTTTATTAAAGCCAGAATATGCGCAAGAGGTTATACACTTATTTAAATTTCACTTTATTTCTGTAGGTTAGTTGGTCTCTTTGAAGTAGATAGCCACATTGTTGACATTACTGGTATCATTATGGTATCAAGCAATTATGAGAACAAATGTGATAAAGAAAATGTGTTTCTGTTTAGTGCTAGTAGTCTCATAATTTTTTGGAATGATATTTCTAGGTGAGTGATATCTTATCAATGTTGGAGAATTTCGACACCTTCAGCCGCCAATTTTTCCTTCCTCCAAAACCTCCAGCTCAACAGTCTGTCTGTCCTTCATTTGGTGAATATGATCACGAGAAGAGACGGAGTTTACCGTCTTCTGCGGAAATTAGTCGAATAGCTGATGGAAGTCGTGATAAGCGTCTCAGTTTACCGTCACACCCATGTGCCGAACGATCCGAAAACATTCCTGATTCTGGTTCGGTAAGCTAGATATATTTTTAAAGCTTCGATATTTTACAGTTCTCGATTTTTAAGATGTGTTAATTTGCAGCAAAATGCTTCTAATATAAAAGTAGAAAATAGCAGTTCCGCAACACATCGAGAAGGATATTCCCGGCTAACTCGATCAACCAAGAAACGTAGTTATCGTATGCCAAGCTATGACCGAGACTTTAGACGGCACAGGTGGTTTAAATGTTCATTGAAAAAGAGTTCTATGGAATTAGTTGATTTCATTGAATGTTTATGTGTTTGATTTATTACTGATTACAAATCACTTTTCTTGAAAAGTTAGTTCTAAGTTTACAATTATGTACTTGAGATATTTCGAGGAAAAGAATAAGGAGAAAGTTCCAGCGATGATTCAAGGGATCGCAAAAAGAACGGTTCTCGATCAGGAAGGAGAAGAGATGCTTCCAGCAGCAGTAGATCTCGTTATGGCACACAGTCTCGCTCTGGCAAGGACCATAGTAGTTCTGAAAGCGATCGTGAATCTAGCAGGTTGACTATTCCTGCACATTAAGCTATGTAACATACATTATACGCATAAAAAGCTACAAATAAAGAACGGAATTGACTGTCTAAAAAATACAGCTTAATTAAGGTGCATTGTTTTTGACTTGTAGTTTGTGACGTTGCATTATATTGAAGGATTGTTGAAAATCTTATTGATTTTCGTCTTCATAAAAATTTCTAATGTTTATGAATTCAATAATTTCTTAGATTTTTGAAAAAACAGCGAAGGATTGGAGTAGCTGGTGATAGCAGTCGCTTGGCATCATGTCGACGTGTAAGTCTAATAAGAAAATTCTTTTGTTCTTGTCTTTCATAAGTTTTATGTAATCTGGTTCGATGATTTATGTAATCTGGTTCGATATCCATTCACTATACGGTGTGTAACGTAATTTTGTCCGACACAGCTATCTTTTCAAATGCAGTTTATGTTTCTAACTAGTTGTGTTCGCAAAATTAGTCTTGATTTCGAAATCTTGGTTATACCCATATGCTGATGTGCACAGCTTGGTTCAAACTAATATAAAATTTAACTTAATTTCTTATATTAACTTATATTTAAGCATCATGACTCTGATGTGAGCTCATGCAGTAGCGAAGAAAGTTCAAGTTCGCTGGGCGAAATTGATGTTGAAGTAGCAAAGAAAGCGTCTGAGGATCCCTTCAAAAGTTTGTTAGAAAGACTTCGCAATAAAAAATGCGGTCTGTGGGAACAATGTAAGTACATTTTTAAAAATGAAGTTCATTGTTCTTTCGTTTGTCGGCATCTTTATGAGCAGCATATTTTCTTATAGAAGGTCTTTTGTGTAAAATAACTTTAAGAACAGGAATTGTTCATACTCCAAAAAATCACATTTAAGCATTGGGCTATGCGGATTTAGGGTATTTAAACTTTGAGTACAGAAATTTGTTAGAACTTTATTTAACGTTTTAGTAGCCATCCTTATTTTCACCTCATTTATTATTTTCTTTTATAGATGCTGCAGAAAGTAGCCACGACACGAATGGAGCAATCGCAAGTGATGATTGATTGAAGTCCATTAATGTAGTTTTGGTAGAGATAATCTTTTTGGTCTCTTATCCATGTGGCTTTTAGCATCTTTTGCCATTAATTTTTTTAATAAGTAGAACTCTGCCGATAACTTACCAGTAATTTCAGATTTATAACGTTTACTGTAAAAATATTGTTCATAAAAATTTTTTCTTTCCTCTTATGAAAAATATTCGTAATTTTTCAGTCTGGAATTATTGACAAATTGCTTTTCTTTTAAAATCCATTTGAATTACTATTTTTGCTTTTTTATGTGAACATCAGAATAATTTCTCTACAGCAGTACCAGCATTGCCACTTAATTCATTACCGTGCATGTCTGGACTGTAATGTAGATAGCGCTGTGCAAGGACCACTTGAAATCCTAGTCAGGCTATCTAGTCTAATTTACTTCTGTATTAGTCATATGGTAGCATCGACTTTTCAAGTATGCCTTGTCATGCTGCCTGGTCGTTTCCTGTACCTCACCGTTATAGCACAGTGTTTAGGTCAGTTCTCTTAAAATTTAGTTTATTAAACAGGACAATATTTTTTTGTCCAAATCACTGTTAAATTCTAAAAGAAAATTCTTGTATAATTATTGTTGAATTTGAAGAAAAAGTTTTTTGCATGTAATTTCTAGTGGTGAAAATGTCTACCTGTGCTGCTATAATTTTATATGTTTTACACATGAAAAGTTTGTCAAGCAAGTGTGCCTGTTGTAAATCTTTATTTATTTTTGCAATCTGTTTTTGATGTTTACCATGTAATAACTGTTGCCCCTTTTATTTTGTAAATTGTATATTTCACCCCGTCGACCAAGCCGGTGATTCATAAATTTTTTTTTAAACTCTAGAGGGTTAATATAATCATTTTCTGCTATATATCTCTTCATTTTATGATAGGTTCTCAATGTATTGCTTTTCTCTCACTTATCATCGTTGCAGTATAATAATTAGATGAGGTATTGGTTGATGACTATGGTAATAATAATTGATAATTAATAGTGATGATCTCACGATGTCCTTCCTCCTCAGGCCATTGTTTTCATTTTTTCTTTTGAAATTATTTCACAAGAATACTCGTACTTTTGCCATTTTTCATTTTTAAACCGTGTGTCTTTGCATTTTATAGTCGCAGCTCATGTACATGAAATGAGTAAAGAACTGAGTAAAGATATGATGAAGATGTCTTCTTTGTCTTAACATGAAATTTTGAGTTCATTTATTTGTAATGGTAAATTTGTGAATCGAGAAGATTATCCGGGAAACGGCTTCTCCGTCCGTGGCTGAATTGTTTTAAAATTCATTTAAAGCTTGTTGGTGGCATATGGCTATTATGTAACTAACATGTAAGGTTGTTGTTTTGTTTTTTGCTTCTAACGAAAAGAATTCGAAAATGCTGATAATGGTTCCAGGTAATAATTTGGCCTAGTATCGTTTTAGATTCAGTAGTGGCTTCGTACGTAGGCACACTCTTCTGAGAATACTTACTATCAATTGAAATAATTAGAGGAAAATATAAGTTTTGCACAAACCCGATATCTCAAGCTGGATTGTTTCTCACCATTAGATTGTACTAATATAAGCTTGCATAAAAGAGGAATTAAAATAAACGATGAAACCGATATCTCAAGCTAGGTTGTTTCTCATCATTAATTAGATTGTACATGCCTATTTCAAAATTCTCACAAACCTATCGATGTATGCAAATGTATTAGCATAATATCGGATAAGATGTTCGAGCTTTTCAAATGGTGTGATATTTCTATCGCCACATTCAACAAAAAACATCCGTTTTTCATTCACGAAAAATTCTTGTACCGGTAAATGCCTGCAGAATTTGTTATATATCATTCTCAAACATTGTAAATAATTATAATCATTTTATATATAACAAAATTCTTTAATGTGATAAACCTTAATTTGGAAAACAATTTCCTTTTTATTAATTTACAGGACAGGATGCTTCCATTAAATTTAAATATAGAGAGTGGAAACCGGAGAGTTGTATGTTTTCTTTCACCGATTGATTATACAGAAATATGAAGTCTTACTTGTATTCCAAATCATTATTCACGAAAACGATATACAAAGGAGCATATTGTTTCAAATTTTCAAGATTGGTAACATTTTCCGGTATCTAAAAGTTACTGTTTCAGAATTCCATTTTGAAGCATATGAGAAGAAATTTGATGTAATAACAGAATTTTAAAATTAGTACAGCTAATTTTACTGATCGAATAGAAATATGAATCATAAATTTGCTTAGTATTAATTTCTAAAATTTTTTTCAAAATTACTTGACTATCAAATAGCTTAAATCAATAATTTGAATTATAGAATTACGGTATTACTTCGTGATATAAACGAAAATTTTGGGCAATTCCGGTTAATGAAATGGAAGCGGATCGTGGTTTTTGTCCAAGGTAGAATCTGAAGCAAAAAATTGGAAATGCTATTAAATGAATTGTTTATGAAAGAAGAGCTTACGCTATCGAATTTCCTTCAGGGAACAACTGTGTTCAATTATTCCGTAACACAAATTTTTAATGATATAACAAGAGATAAAACAAATAATCTAACCTATAGAAAATTTCCACTTTTGAAGCATTTTTTGGTATGTAGAACGATTTCTGTTGAAGTAATGATTGTTGTTGATTTGATGTTTTCTGATAAAATATTTTGTATGATATGATTTATGCAAATATTTGAATGACAATATTTTTGTGATAAAGCACTGATAAATAGCTAATTTTCAAATGATAATATTTTTGTGGTGAAGTATTGATAGATGACTATTACTGATATTGTAGTACTGATAAATGGCTAATTTTTGAATGGTGAAATACTGATAGATACATATTATTGAATTATATTAACAAAGAAAAAATAAAAATAAAAATTGAAATCTACGATTGATTTCTCTATTCGATCATTGCATCTTAATGAAATATTATCATAATGATTCATTGTATATCGGTTATATTGATCACTGAAAGAAAATATTATAGTTAAAACAATTATTCATCTTTAAATAGATGATTCATATTCTTAAAATCAGCAAATTTAATAGTAAAAAATATTATGAAAATTAGAAAGAATTAAAATTTCATTTTTCTTCTATATCTGAAATATATATTAAAATTTACATGTCTAAAAATTAAACCAAAATTTGCTAGATTTAATTTAATTAAATGTAAACAAAGTGTTGTCGATAATTTAATTTAATACAAACAAAAGTATTGCTTACCTGTTAATTGTATGTTTTGCATAGTTTTCATTTGTTTTTAAATTGGTTAAATTTCCAGGTGCTATTTTCATCTTTAATATCAAAATTTGATAAATAATTAAAAAAGAAAAAATTTTTTAATTGTTTTAAATTATGACTTTTTTTATGTCAACAAATTTTAATTTTTGAAATTAAAATTTTGAAGAAAGTTTGTTTTTGAAATACAATTAAACATCACGTGGTTTGCATATTAACTTACCCGATCGAATAGTTCAAATATTGGCCACAATGAAGAAATTTTCTTTTTAGTTTCAAATTTCTAAAAATTTTATTAATAAAATTGAATGATTTTAATAGTCTTCATCTAATCAAATATTCACTAAGAACTTTTGCAAAGATGAAGGAGAGATATTCGGGAATATTGGAAAATCAACCGACAGTCAACAGCAAACTATCAATGGCATATAGCAATCAACAATTTTACAAATTCATTCATTTGATAATTTTAGGATTTTAATTTCAATTCATTTGAATTTATTCATTTACGGAATGATTATCAGTGATATGCTATCATTAGCGCCTATTTAGTTAGAATTGTTCAGGAATGTTAGAAAATCAATCAGATAGTTTCAACAGAAAATCATCACTGGTATATAGTATATAGTATCAACAATTTTATAAATTCATTCATTTGATAATTTTAGGATTTTAATTTCAATTCATTTGAATTTATTCATTTACGGAATGATTATCAGTGATATGCTATCATTAGCGCCTATTATTAGCGCCTACTTAATCAGAATTACTTGATATAAACAAATCATTATGATATATTACAATGAAATTTTTTACTTGATTATAATATTCGCCACATTTAATGCCATGTTTGCAACAAATGATTGATTCATTTTCAAAAAGTGCTATAAAAAGAGTATTGTTCTCTGATAAGGTTAACAATTAAATAAAGAGTTTTAATTTTTCCAAAATTTAAAATTCATTAAGAGCAAAAATTTGCATATACGTAAAGGAAGATTGTAAGAAAATTAACCGGGTTCTGTAGATGGTTGATATTCATCAGCATCAATTGTACTATCATGAAGTGGCCTTTGACCTATTTCACTTGGTGATATCTTCACTTTACGTTGTTTACGCCATTCAATTAACAAATCTTTTTTTGTCATTTTACTAATGATAGAACAAAAGCAATAATTTACAGCTTATTAATTCTTTCACCTTTACTTTGAAGCAACCGACCACTTTTGAAAGCAATAAATGAATCAATGATGTTCCTTTCATTTCTTCCACTAATAATTCTTTTAAAATTTTTAAACAGAAATTTTTGACTGATCGATAAAACTCTCTGGAAGAAGAAGAAGGAAAAGTTACAGCAATCAATTTTAGTTCAATTTTTATCAAAATTGTACTGATAAGATACGAAAAATTGATTTTAAGCAATTTTCATTAATGTAGAAATTGATTTGTAATCAATCACGTATGTTACTTCCGAGTGATCATTATCATTAACTTCATTATCAGCATGAGATTTTAGAATAAATTCTTGCATCTGTCGTTAAATCTTCATAAACTTTGCAAAATTAACTGAACGAATCGCTTCGTCTCACTTTTGACACCTTCGAAATTCGTTCTTTTTTTTTGAAATTTTGAAATTATCAACAATTTTTTATGTAGCTATATCTCAGCTATTGTTTTAATTAATTTATTTCAGTTTAGAAATGAATTAATTCGAATTGAATAGAATCAATCAGATTGAATCAGAAATCGTTACTTGAACTTAAATAAGTTTCTTCCTCTATTCCAATCAATGGAGTATTATCCTGAATAGAATCAATCCGATTGAATCAGAAATCGTTCCTTGAACTTAAACAAGCTTCTTCCTCTCTATTCGGATCAATGGAGTAGTAGTAACTTTATCCATTCTCATCTTTCATTCATCGTTTTCGCGTTCTAAACGTATCTACTCTCTTACGTGACCCCCTATCAGTACAGTTTCAGTTTATTATCAATATCTGTTGTACAGTGCGTGAAAAACGTCAAAATATTTTCATCTACATGAGCAAATAAATGAAGATGAAATGAATGAAAGAGAAAAATAACGCAATTCGAAAATGATAATTTCAACTGAATAAAAGAACAAAACGATTTCCTATCATATCAGCCATATCATTAGATTAGTTACTGTCACATCACTTTTTATATTTATAATAATTGAGCGATTAGGCTTATCAATTTCGATTAAAATTTTTGAGCAAAAGAATTTTGAATATGATCAGTGAATTTTTACTCACTGATTTCATATGATATTATATATAACTTAATTTTTATGATATTATAATTTGATATTAACTATAGTTGATATCATACGGAAACTATGACACGGATAACAGCACCGAATTCATGATCATTCTCTGTTGATCATTATCAGTTTAATTGTTGTTGCATAATTAACAAGTAAGACTTTAAAAACATTATTACAATCTTCATTTTTGTGTAAATTAAAATGGAAAGTGAAATAAAATAAACTTGATATTAACTAAAATTATTACTTCCAAGATTTATCAGTTGCATTGGAAAGCAATTAGTAAATCATTTACGGTCTTCTTTTCCTTTTTTGCGCAATTATGCTATCATATCATATCTTTCTTTTGACAAGTGATAAAATTATGCTATCATATCATATCGTTTCTTTTAACAAGTGATAAAATTATGCAATCATATCATATCTTTCTTTTAACAAGTGATAAAATTATGCTATCATATCATATCGTTTCTTTTAACAAGTGATAAAATTATGCAATCATATCATATCTTTCTTTTAACAAGTGATAAAATTATGCAATCATATCATATCTTTCTTTTAACAAGTGATAAAATTATGCTATCATATCATATCGTTTCTTTTAACAAGTGATAAAATTATGCTATCATATCATATTGTTTCTTTTAGCAAGTGATAAAATTATGCTATCATATCATATCTTTCCTTTAACAAGTGATAAAATTATGCTAACATATCATATCGTTTCTTTTAACAAGTGATAAAACAAATTATGCTATCATATCGGTTTTTTTACAAGCGATAAAACAAAAAGAAACAATCAAAAAAGTTTCAAATTTGATAAATTAAAAGAAAAAAGAAAGAACCATCGGAAAATTTATGATAATTTATTTTTTTAGGAATGCTACCAACGAAAGATAACTTTCGTTAAATGATAATTAATACATCGTATAATTAGAATAGTTCTTTCTTTCTTTTATTATCGTCGTAATTGTCAATTATTTCATTCTTATCAAATTATTTGATTATCACAAAAATGGAAAGAAAGGTACACAACATTTAATAGATTGATCTTACCTCTGAAATGAGTAATATCCCCGTAGTTGTAGAAGATTTGATCGCATATAATTTTTTAGCAATTTATAATTATTTATAGTAAATTGTTGACAAACTTATCATCCAAGATTTTATAATAATTATCCATGAAATCTAATAAATTTTAATTGCAAATTATAAATGAAAAATTTTTTTCCTGCAAATTTTTTTTGAAATTATAAATTATAATAAATTCGAAGTAATTTAATTCATAGAAAAATTATTGTTTTAAAAATTTCAATGATTATTAATTAGACGTTTTTCAGTTATTACAATTCTATCTTTTAGGTTAAATAAATAAATTTAAAAATTGTAAATTAATGTAAAATTAATATTATTTTAGTTACATTAAATTAAAGAAAATTAGACGAATTAATTAATGCTTAATTATACGAGAATTAATTGTTAATTATAAAATTATAATCATTAATTATATTCAAATTTAAATATTTTAAAAATTTCAAAAAGAAATATACGATCACTTATAATTTAATCAATTTTAATATTTCATATTGAAAAATTTTACTTGAAATACAATGCAGTGTCGTATCAATCGAAAAGTGTTGAAATTTTACTACAAATTGTAAAATAAAGCAAATTTGTTGCTTAGTTTTTTAATTTGTGATACATTAATTAAGTTAATTAATTTGATTTAAAATTACAAAAAAAAATTCAATTTCTTTTTACACATATAGAAAAGTTAAACAAACAAGTAAAAGTATATAGTAAACATAGTAAACAGAAATATTCTTTGTACAATTATATAAAGTTATAATAATTCATTGAAAGAATATATTTTTTTTATTATAATAGGTTGGGAGAAAAAAAGAAATTGAATTCTGAATTTAAATTATGAAATTTAATTAAATTTAGATAATTACGAATTGTTTTCTCGTTTTAGCGAATAAACCGGCATTGGTGTATTAAATGGATTGGAACGTAATGTGGATTCGTTTCGTTCATCAAATTTTACAGCAATCTTCTCCTGCTCTAATGAATCCTTTTTTGATCGGATCGAGAAATTCCTCTTTACCGGTTCATTTTTCTGTTCATCAGTAAGAAAAATTGGTGGTACTAACGAGCAACTTCGGGCATTCTTCATCAATCTTACCGGTTTTTTATCAAAATGCTCATTGCGTATCGGTACGGTGGAATTCGTCGTTTCTTCTTTTGACATTGCAAAATTATTTGTTGTTGTTGAATTATTACATGAATTATTTTTCAATTTTGAAGTAGTCATTGGAAATGTGGATAACGAAGTAGCCGTTTCATTTGTTTCCGAAGGAATCGAATTTTCCTTTGCAACAAGTGAAGATTTTTTTGATATGGAAGTCTGAAAATCATTTTTATAAATTTAAAATTTTTAACGATAAAACAATATTTTGCTAATTATTATCAAAGTGATAATATATGAAAATGAATTCGCAATATAAGCTATCAAAAATTCTTAATTATTAATTAAAATGTTTGAATAGATTCCGAATATTTAAATTTTGATACAAACCTTTTTAAATACTTCTTCCGTATTTAATTCTATTTCCGGAACTGCTTGTTCCAATGAGATTTTCTTTCGTACAGTTTTCTTTGGTTTTTCTTTTTCAAGTGCTGTTTCTATAGTATCAATTGTTTTTGCTATTGTAGATGCTCTCTTAAGACCGGCTTTTTTTGATGTTGTTTTTACCGAATTAACGATAGGTAATGATGATTGGGCAGGTGCGGTTGCTTTTGCAAGTACCTCATTAAGAGTGTCAGTCCTATTGATAACATCTGTTATCTTGACTTGTTTATCGGCAATCGGTCCTTCTTCAAGGATAGCCGAAGTAGTTTTCCTGTCATTTGCAACCGTGGGAAGTAATGTTTTTTTTGCATTTCCGATAATATCTGGAGTTGTCTTCTCGAAAATACTTATAACACTGGCTAAAACCGGTTTAGAATGTGGTGGTTCTTTTCTTACAGATGACACTTCAGATGCACTTCCCAAAATGGCAGGTTTCATCGGTTGAGGCTTTCCGGATTGCATTTCTGGTTTAGTAGTGATAATCGGTTTGTTAATTTCCTCGAATCTCATTTGTTGTGCCTCTTCAGCTTCTCGAGCGGCAATTGCTGCTTGCCGCCTTAGTATTCTTCCTTTAATAATATTTCGGTTTTATAAAAGTCATTATCGATATAATAATTATATTTAGCACATATTCGGTTACCATAAACAATTCTATTTCATTTAATCGATTATTGATTAGTTGTAGATTTCAAACAAAAATATGGTACAATACCAAAAAGCATATTTTATGATTAATAAATCAAAATGTAATTTAAAAGAAATCGAACTTCCATATTGGAAAAGAACTCACTCAAATGATCTTCAAACGAAACTAAATATATAACTGATAGATTCATTTGGTGATAAAGTGATAAAATATTCTTATTTGGTGATAAAGTGATAAAATATTCCTAAGTGGAGCGCATCATTGCGGGAACGGAGAGATGAAGGATTGAGAAAGGAAAAAATTAGGAGAGAAAGAGGGAGAGGAAATGAAAGGATTTTAGCAATTTCTAAAAAGTATATCTAAAGATCTGAAATCGACCTTTTGACCTCCTACATCAATTGAAATTTCCATTTTTTCCAAATACTTTTTTCATCTTACTTGAATATTTTCTTTCGTTGCTCAGAGTTTTTGTTATTAAAACAAAAAATTACTAATTTCCTGATTTCGAATCATTGCATTTTCGATTTTATGTCGACCTTCCGGTAATCGAAGATTTATTGATACTTTTGTTAGGCCTCTATTTTCAAATACCGCATCGATAATCTCTCTTTCAGCTGTGGTAGCAAATGTAACACCCTGAATAATAAATACTTTTTAAATTCAAATATAATAGTAATTTCATATTTTGATTATTTCAAATATTTAATAAAAGCATTTTAACAACAAATTGTAGCATATAAAATATTTAAATGTAATAATACTTAAAATAAAAATTTTAGTATTTCGTGATGAAAAGAATAATCTGCTAAAAATAGTAAATCTCTCTCTCTCTCTCTCTCTCTCTCTCTCTCTCTCTGTAAAAACGGAGAGAAAGAAGAGTTCAGATGATATGACAAGAATGATCTGAATAAAGGAAACAAGAAATCATGGAATTAAAAGAAGGCACTGATACCATGAAGATAGAAAATTTGTTGAAAAAAGTAATTTGCTAAAAAGAGTAAATCTCTCTCTCTCTCTCTGTAAAAACCGAGAGAGAGAAGAATTCAGATGATATGATAAGAATGATCTGAATAAAGGAAATAAGAAATCATGAAATTAAAAGAAGACACTGATACCATGAAGATAAAAAATTTGTCTGGTAAATAAATACGAAGGTTTGTCTGATAAATAAATACGAAGATTTGTCTGATAAATAAATACGGAGGTTTGTCTGATAAATAAATACGAAGGTTTGTCTGATAAATAAATACGGAGGTTTGTCTGATAAATACGAAGATTTGTCTGATAAATAAATACGGAGGTAGGAAAACGCTTAGTAATGGGTAAGTAATATTGCTAAATCTGTAATGCACCTGGATGATTGAACAATTTTTGTAAATTTCTCAAATCAATATTTAAATTGAAATTTTCAATATTTGCAATTAAACTTTGAAAGTATAAAAAATGAATTACTCGTTTTCTGTATCTCATATGTATCTGTATCACTGTATCTCATATATTAGAACTTAATCATTTTAATTATTTCGAATATTATCTCATAACTATTAAGTTATTTTAGATTTATTATCATTTATTAACAAATAATTAGAATAAAAATAGATCTGCAATTTGATTTCAATTTTTGAATTTTGAACTTATCTCAAAACTTCTGAAATAATTTTTATGGTACAATTTTCATGTGAAAAAAATTTGATATGATAAAATGGATTAATCATATCTTTCAAAAAATTTTTATTAAATAAGAAATGGATTAAAAAAGAACCTGATTGACAGCTTTCACTTCTTCAAGTGTTTGATTGACTAAAGCAGCTTTAAATAAGCGTGCAAAGAAATCACCACTAAGATAATTTGTTTCCAAATTGATCGATTTTAATGTTGTATTACTTGCTACCACATCAAATATAGGCTGTAATGTATATAGTTTCATGATAAGTTTATTCAGTGATAAAATTATCATTAATCCTATCAGCAAGCATTTTAATTTTCATCTAACCGATAATTTTAAAGATATCAAATAAAAAAACATTTAACTATTACTATTTCAAGTTAATTAAAAATTAGTATTAATTACTCATCATCTTCTCGTAAAAGATATCAATTTAAATTGAAACTTTAAATAAGTTATCATTGAATGAATTAGTCATCTCCTCGTAAAAGATATCAATTTAAATTGAAACTTTAAATAATTTATCATAGAATGAATTACTCATCCCCTACATAGAAGATATCAATTTAAATTGAAATTTTAAATAAGCAATCATAAGATGAATTACTCATCTGTTTTTAAAATTTCTTTAAAGCGATGATTCACTACCTATTTTCAATCATTGGGTTTAATAAAATTCAAACTGAAACAGGTTAATTTGAATAACATAATAGTTATTCAAATTAATTTATTTCATCCAATTTAATTAGAAAATTTATTTTTAGCATATTTTTAAATTTTTGATAGTAAAATTTCACATATCAACAAAACCTACCTCACAATCATTATCATACAAACCCATATTAGCAAGCGCAATTTTCTCAAGGTGTGTATTATTTTTTATCGCTGATAAAAGTCGTTTCACTTGTGGAATTGGTGTACGCTATAATATTTATCAATTATTTTAATCTTCTAAATTAATTAATTTATCAATGTTTTTGGCATCATCTAAATTAATCCAAGATATTATGAATTTAATAATTTACCTATTGATATTAAAAAACAATTGGTTTAGATACAAGTAGTTTAAATTTTTAATAAATATTATTACCAAAAAATTTTGAATAATTTTACTCGAAATGTGACAATTCAATAATTCAATATTTTTTAAAAGCAATTTAATAATTCAATATTTTTTAAGAGTTTAATAAAATTTCAAATTAAATTTAAGAGGAAAAGAAAACACACACTTTCATATTATTTAAATTAACTTGTTTCAATTTAGGATCATCCATTTGCAATTGTTGTATTGACCAATCCACATCAGTATCATTATCTGGTTCTGTTGGTCGTGTTTGTTGTGGTAATGAGGATTTAATTGGACCATTAAAATTACTACAATTCATAACTTGTTCCGCTTCTTCCCAACTTATTATACGATTATCACTCATCATTTCTGTAAACAAAACGAAACGAAAGAAATAAATAAATAATCTTTGATAAATGATTATATTGTTATTTTTTTTTTTTTTAGCAAAACTTATTTTCCCTATTATCTTTACTATTATATTTTAAATTAATTAAAATAATTTGAAAGAAATTAAATTAGCTGAAATAATTTGGAAGAAATTAAATTAATTGAACTAATTTGGAAGGAATTAAATTAATTGAAATAATTTTTGAAAATAAGCAAACAAAATTTTGCAATGAGAAATATTATTTAATTTTATTGGAAATTAAATAGTAATTACTAAAATTTTAAAATTCCTTATTTAAAATCTGTAAAATACTGAAATAAACAGTTGTTGATTTTCGATTAATATTAATTCCAATTAATCGTCTGGTAAAAATTAATTAAAGAATTTTTCTATAGCAAAAATCATTCAACGAAATACCATCAACTTATGAAAGATAGTGAGGAATTTATAGATCATTTTAAATACTGTAAATAGTTTACTTATTATAATATTAATTAATAATGAATAAGTGGCATTATGCTAATTAGCGTTGCTAATTTCAACCAAAAAATTAACAAATAATTAAATAATTTTTGATTTTAAATTCATTTTAACTTTCATAAAGTAAATTTGAAATTTTTTTAAATTTCATAAAATTAATTTATGAAAAAAAATTTTTTTTTTTTTAATTTTTTAAAACTATTCAAAAAATTACATTTTCTTTATCAATTAATTAAAAGCTAAAAAAACAAAACAAATAAAATTACTCAATAATTCTTTCACTTCATCGTTCGGTTCTTTTTCAGCAAGCGCTTGAATTGCATCCATTAAATCAGCATCTGTCATCATTTCGTTTCGTTCAGCCATTATCATATTTTATACTATAAAATTTATTCTTTTTTTTTTAAAACAATCTAAAAAATGATATAAAAATTTGCTCGCAACATTTATTATTCGTAAAAATTTCTTCTAATTTCTATCAATAAATTTTTTATCATAAAAATTTTCAGTTAAAAGATAAAATTTAAAAAAAAAAAAAATATTAAATCAATAAAAATAGTAAATCAATAAATAAAATTTCAATTAAAAGATAAAATTACAAATGGTAAATCAAACAATTATATAATATTGAATAGGTTGAAATTAAATAAGCATTTTCATGGCCGAAATGTATAATTTGATTTTATTTTAACGAATTGTGTAAAGGAATGTAAATAGGAATGCATTGATTTTAGTAATTTGTAATAAATAATTTAAATATTAGTTTAATTTCGAAATTATCAGAAGTTACAAAATAAAAGTTAAAAAAGAAGTACCATTATGAGAAACGAAGAAGTACCACTATTAGAAATAAGTAGAAATACTTGGAAATGGAAGGATTTTAAAGATGCATAATGCATCTTTAAAAGCTATTACATGCATTAAGCTCAAGGCAAGGAGTAACGAAATTAGTAACTAATTGACCTTTGACATAAGATAAAGATAATAATAAAAATATTTATTAATGAAATCTTATTAAGTTAAATAATGACAGTAAAATTTTCAGTTAATTCTTCAAATCATTTTAATCAATGTTACTGATTATTAAACATTCCAAAATAATGATCAATTATACGAAAAGAATATAATTATAAATCATTATCCAGGCATTGTTCTCTACCGGAAAGATGTTTAAATAATCTTTTTCTGGTCTCTACCGGAAAACATCTTGAAGACTGTCATAAAAATTTCTTCCCAATAACAATTAATCAAATCAATTTTTTTTTGATTTAATCATTAATTAGTAAATTAATGATAATAATACATTGCAATAAAACAATATACCTTAATTAATTGAACGAAAAAATAAATTTCAATGAAAATTTTGGGGAAAAAAAGTAAGATAATTGTAGTTTCCCAGTTTAAAATATAATTTCATTATTAAATTTCAAAAAACAAAGCTGTCTATTGTTTCTGTATTTTTTTGGCCAAACATTTTATTTAATATTCTTTAAAGTAATTAAATTTTCTTTAATTAAGACTTATAATTTAGTATTCTTAAAGAAATTAAGCTTTCTTTAATTTAGATTCAGAATTTAATAAACTTTAAAGAAATTAAATTATCCTTAATTTAAATTTGAAATTTAATAATTTTCGAAGAAATGAAATTTTCCTTAATTTAGATTTGGAATTTGATATTCTTTAAAGAAATCAAATTATTCTTAATTTAAATTTAGAATTTAGTAATCCTTAAAGAAATCAAATTGCCCTTAATTTAAATTAAGAATTTAATAATCTTTAAAGAAGTCAAACTGTCCCTAATTTAAATTTAGGATTTAATAACCTTTAAATAAATCAAGTCATCCTCAATTTAAATTTAGAATTTAATAATCTTCAAAGAAATCAAATTATTCTTAATTTAAATTTAAAATTTAATAACCATTAAAGAAACCGAACTATTCTTAGCTTAAATTTAGAATTTAATAACCATTAAAGAATTCAAGTTATCCTTAATTTAAATTTAGAATTTAATAATCTTTAAACGAATGAAAATTTTCGTCTAATATTATTCAAAAAAAAAAAAAAAGGAAAAGTATTTTATTTTACTTTTACCATTTCAATGATATAAAACATATTTGGATGAATAAGCATTAGGAACACAAATTGTTTGTCTATTTAACTAAAATCAATACCTGAAATGAGGAACAGAAAACAGATGTGAAAAGAAGAGGAAGTTTAAAAGAGAGAGGAAAAAATAGACGATATTATAGTTGAAGGTGGAAGTAACAGATGATGCCAATAAAGATGGATATAAGAGTTCATGTATCATATTGAACACTTTTACTTTTCACTCTTTCTTTTTTAACAAAATGAATAAAGTATTTGATAAAATATTGATTTTTAAAGTATTTGATAAAGTATTGATTTTTATAGTACTTGATGAAGTAATGATTGTTACATATTTGATAAAGTATTAATTGCTAAAGTATTTGATAAGGTATTGATTGTTAAAGTATTTAATATGGTATTGATTGTTAAAGTATTTAATAAGGTAATGATTGCTAAATATTTGATGAGGCATTGATTGTTAAAGGATTTTGGTAGTAAAGTATTGATTGTTAAAATACTTGAAAAAGTATTGATTTTTAAAGTATTTGATAAGGTATTGATTGTTAAAGTATTTAATAAGATATTGATTGCTAAATATTTGACGAAGTATTGATTGCTATGGTATTTGATGAAGTATTGATTGTTAAAGTATTTGATGTAATGATTTTTGCAAAATGAATTAAGTAATAAATAACAGGTATGAAAATCATATTTCATCATTCCTATCATATATTTTACTAAAATTTTTACTAAAAAGTTTAGAATAGATAGGATAATTTATTACTTCAAATTAATTAATTATTTAACAAAATATTAATATCTTATTGTGAAAAATTTTTATTTCAAGTATTTCAATTATATGTTAATTTGAGTGGTACTTATCTAATTAGGCGCTATTCGTAGTAAATATATGAAAGATAAATAATTGCTTTCTTTATCAGTTATTACATTAGCAATTTCAACTGCACACATTTATTTATACTAATAAGTAAGTTTCATTTTACTACAATTCTATTATTTATCCAAATTCATCTCCAATTAATTTTTCATATTAATAGGTTTGAACCATTCGAATATGATCGTAGTATAAATTTAAATCTATCAACAATCTATCAATCTGTTTTTAAATTATGAAAAGCACAATGATAAGTGATCAAAAAAGGCGCAAATGATCAAGAAGGCACAATTCGTGCAATATTTATTCCATTTCATCTTCAATTAATTTTTCATATTAACACGTTTGAAACATTCGAATATGATCGTAGAAATTAATCTATCAGTAATTTATCAATCTGTTTTTGAATTATGAAAAGCACAATGATAAATGATCAAAAAGGCGCAAATGATCAAGAAGGCGCAATTCGTACAGTATTTGAAAAATAAATAAATGATTAAGAAGGCGCAATTTGTACAAACTGTAAATTTCATTTTAGAAGTATGAGAGATTAGATTTTAAAAAGCAAAGAGTAAAAACAAAGAAAGTAATCATTGCAGCAATAATACTAATCAAATTACTTTTTCCGCCTCTATCTCTTCCTTCTTTGTTTTATATTTTCAAATTATTTTTAAATTATTAAAAGTTTTATATTTTTTTAAATGAGAGAATTATTTTAGTGAAATATTTACAATTATTCATTTAATAATTTAACGAATATTTCGATAATATCAATTCTTCTTTTTTCAAATAAAATAATTCAAAATATTAAAAATAACCCATACGACAAAATGCGACAAATCAATAGATCAATTGATTTGTTATATCAATCAAATGAAATTGTAATCAAATAGATCAATTGATTATAATTAAATAGAAATTATAATCAAATAGATCAATTCATCCAATCAATAGATCAATTGATTTGTTGTATCAATCAAATGAAATTATAATTAATTTAGCAATTACAAAATTCTTTTGAAGTATTTTTCATACATCAGCAAACTTCACCATTAAATATTCAAATGGAAGAATTCTATTTGATAAATTTTATTTAAAATAAAAACAAAAACAAACAGGTTTTTAATAGGGTAAATGATAATGATAGTAACAATAAATGCTTTTTTTAACTGAAAAAATTTTCGAACTTTTATTTCTAATCAAAAATTTATTAACTGAAAATAACTGAGCAAAAAATTATGGGTAATCTTGATAATTCAATTTGAAAATTTTGTAAATGTGTATTGAATAAGTACATAGGTAAGTTTATATTTGATAAGTTAACAATGTATGTAAATGTGTAGGTTTATATTTGACAATTTAATAAGGTAATAATAATAATAATAACAATATAATGCTTATATTTGACAATTTGACAATTGACAATTTAACTTATATATAATGTAAATGTTGACAGTATTATATATAGACAGTATTATATACAAGTATTATATATAGACAGTATTATATATTGTATATAAGTATTATATATAAGATTATTTAGAAGTATTATATATAGACAATATTATATACAAATATTATATATAGACAGTATTATATTATATAAGTATTATAAGATTATGTATTATAAGTATTACTATGTATTACTATGTATTATGTATTATAAGATTATATAAGATTATGTAAAAATATTATATACAGACAGTATTATATATTATATATATATATATATAAGTATTATATATAAGATAGGATGAAATTTGAAAGAGATGAGAAGTTGGATGGAGCGCTTGTAATTGTAAGTATCTCTCCTGAACAGATATGAAATGCTTTCATCTTCCACTTAGAGAATGCCTTCTTCTTACATCTAATCATTTTATTTTCGAATTTTTGCAAATGTTTTTTATTTTTGAAAAAATATAAAGAATAGAAAGATATAAACATAAACGATTGCTTACCTTCCAACTTCAATGATACTAATGGATAAATGAATTGTTGTCCCGCGGGAAACAAATCTCGTTGAAATTTAATGGATAAGTGAATTGTTATCCCGCGGAAAACAAATCTTGTTGAAATTTAATGGATAAATGAATTGTTGTCCCGCGGGAAACAAATCTCGTTGAAATTAAATGGATAAGTGAATTGTTGTCCCGCGGAAAACAAATCTCGTTGAAATTTAATGGATAAGTGAATTGCTGTCCTGCGGGAAAGAAATCCCGTTGAAACCTAATGGATAAATGAATTGCTGTCCTGCGGGAAAGAAATCCCGTTGAGACCTAATAAAGAAATGAATTGTTGTCCCGCGGGAAAGAAATCCTGTTGAAAAAGAAAATAATTGGGAAAAAAATCATTTTGCTATTTGTTGATTAAATTGTTAAATTGAAGTTGATTAAATTGTTAAATTGAAAGTACATTGAAATTAAATAAAAAAAATTAACTGCATGATTAATTTAATTAAAATAAATTGAACAAAAATTTCTTTAATTACTAAATTTTAATTGTTTGATAAAAATGGGTAAATTACCGAAAAACAAAAGAAAATTCGAGATTTTAGTCTTTTGTTTTATGTTGTTTTTTTCTTTTGTTTTAATTTTCTTTTGTTTTAATCATAAAAACAGGAATGAAAATATTTGAACAATTAGCTAAAAATATTTCGATTAAAAATACAAAGTGCAAAGGTGAAATTAATAAAGCACCGCTTATAATATGGTTTTATAAATTGATCGATTCGATCCGCTTAATTAAAGCACTGTGAATGAGGAGGGATCCGTTTAAATGAATTAACTAACGAACAGTTAATACAATGAAGTGAACAGGTAAATAAGTTTGATAACTCATTTATCATCTGCTATCAACCAGTTCAGTGTTCAAAGTTCATTATAATTATTCGCATATGAAGAATCCAGAATCAAAATTACCTTTTACGCTCCAACTATTCGGTTTTTGTTGATTCGAATTAGTATAAAGATAAAATAAAGGAACTCAATATCGTCCGGAATTTATCATTAAATACATTTCATCTGTGCTATTCTCGAAAGTTGACGTGAAGAAATTTGTTGAATAAAAGTAGTCAGAAGTAAATCGTAAAATTGAAATGGCTCTCTTTTATGATGCATGCATCTGTAAAATGAATTTAGGGAAATATCAAAAAATTTCATAAGTTTCCGGTCAGTAATAACGGGAAAAAAATTCAAAAATTTTTCCGTTATAAAAATTTCCGAAAAAAATTGGAATGAGGAAAAAAAGAATTAGAATGCAAAACTTAATAGCATCACTGAAATTCAAATAGTTCGTTGTTCGTTTATAAAATAAAACGAGTAATTGCAAAAATTTTAGGAATTTAATTTTAAAATTATTTATTGCAAATTTAAAATTTGCAATATTCATAACAATTGCAAAAGAGAAGAAAAGAAAAAAAAAACATTGTAATTTAAAAATTTAGGAAAAACAGAGAGGTGAAAATGCGGAATGTGCTATGAGATAGATCGTTCGACAAATCCTTTGGTAGAATGAAAAGCCAATTGCTTTAACATTTCAAAAGATTGAAATAAGTGAAGGTAGAAGGTGACGATGAAAGTGTTTTAAGAGAGAGAGGGAGAGAGCTGCTAATATGCTGCAATACAACAACTCAAACTCTTCATCCTTTTCATTTCGATCGTTTCCCATTTAGTCTTGAAAATTCACTTTACAACAAAAATTTACCCTAAGCACTCTCAATCTCTCATTTCAAACACAAAATAAAATTCTGTGATGCTACCAAGAAGTTAAGCATTTTAACTTTCATCAATCGTTTGCTAAATTTTAACCTAAAATTAATGAAATGGAACGGTTGTAATTACAGGAATGAATTCTCATTTTGCATTTCAGGTAAGAAGTTGTTGGGGTAAAGAGAAATTTCTTTTTAAACTGATTTATTCATCTTTTTCTTTTTCAACTTTTTTACTTCAGCTTATAAAGTACAAAAGTTTTTGCTTACAGTAAAAAAAAAAAACTGAAGCTACCAGAGGTGGAATGAAGTGTTGAGTACACCTTAGAACTTATAGATCTTCGTATCAATCGCTTTCTCCTCATATTTTTTTTCATAATTCTCAAGGTGGAAGCATTCCTTTTTAATTATAAGATCAAAAACTTTTCTTAGATTTCAGTATTCTTTGAATGGAAAAATTGATTTTAAAATCAGTGCAGTAATTGAAAATCAATTTCAAATATCCTGTAATGTTTGCTTTATACTTTGCTGTATGATGTAAATGCAATAGGTGAAGTTTGTTAGTAGATTTACATAAATTGAAAATCTTACATTGAAGTAGCAGTATAGTAGTAGGGCGCAACAAACATTTCAATCTTATGCACTCGTCTCATCAAACTGTACTTTTCCGCAAACATTCATCATTTCCATGTAGACCCCATTGATGTTATGTGTCTAAGACTCAAAGAAAATTTGCTGAATTAAAAGGAAGCCTTTAAGATTACAGCAAAATTTAAATCAACATGAAAATACGTAGGCAAACAAAATTGATTATTATGGAATTTCCGGTTGAGATAAATTGATTCTCAAAAGACTGACATTCGTGATATTCCATCTTTTTAAATGATTCATTCAATGAAGTGACAGTCAGTTATTGATGGAAGAAAAATTTTAATTTTTATTATCAAAATTTTCATGCTAATCAAAAATCCCTGTCATAAACGAGTCATTAAAACTTCTCCTGGAAATGAAAGCTGTTAACAATCGAATAAGTGGGAAGTTGATAAACAATAACGTTATTCATTTCCAAACAATGGGAATGAATTTTGCATACACCAATCATCAATTCACGGATAATTCATCATATACATATCACCACGTATCAATACCGAAATTTTTTTTTACTACATACAAAATTCATGAGAAAAGCACACCTTGCACATTATTATGATAGCTAGTTTCTACTAGAAATTTCTTTGAAAAAGTTTTTTTCTGGCAACTTTACACTTTACCGGATTCGGCTGATTTAGTAAGTGTTTGTTCCCAATCATATGGAAATTCTTGTACCTGTAGCACCGACATTGCTTTTCTCATCAGCTAAAAGAATTTCCAATAAACTAATTTGATAAAATATATTTGCGCTAATATGCAATTCACTTTTTCTTTAGCATTTGACTTAAAATTCGATGGAGATAATTTTAAAAATTATTCTTTATTCAAAGGAGAAATTCAAGATTAATGTTCTTGACTAGACTCATTCTTTCATAAATAGACCCACCTTGTAAATTTTTTCATAATTTGGATTATCGTAAAATCGTAAACTGTCAATGTAACGTAAAATTACAACATATTGTTGTGGACAACCACCCATAAGCTCCTGCAGATCCACTCCAAAACGACATCGCTCCTGGGATATGGAAGCACTAGGTATGTTGATAACATTCAATTGATAATATGATAAGTTAGTCAGAGGATTGATGCACTGTTACCGCAAAAAGCACTAGGCGAATGAATAACAACGAAAAAAGTGAGGGTAGCATTCGTTACTCTTCCCCCTATTTGCGCTTTGTTAACATTATACATGGAGTTATCAATTTATCAAGAAATCCACTCTTCAATAGAAATTCAATTTCTGAGTTTTGGAAAGCTGATATCATTTCAAAAATTATCCAATTAATTTGAATATATTTCGATGATGAAACTTCTCCCCCATTTAACTTATATTCTTTTGATCGCAAAAATTCTCAATCTAAGTATTTACTTTAAACATTGCTACTTCATCTTTCTTATCGTCTAAGGAACGCCAAGGAAGTGCACCACGTGTAACTTCAATTTGCTGATAAAGCCATGATTCAATATCATCCTTCCGACATATTTCACGTCGTATGTGACATGATATTGATGCATATCGAATTGTACCTCGGAATCCAGCTATCTGTATAATTCAGATTTATATCACTTTCAGTAGTCAATTAAATAATCCGTTAGAATTGACTTTGCATTCTCCAGGAATGTGTTGCATTTCTAGTTATGTCTATCAGTGGACAATCAATAACTTCGTGCAAAAGTTCCCTGAATGAATCATTTAATCATGTGATTTATTTCTTAGGTATCCAACACGCTTCACTTCCTCATATTTACCATTACCCATAATGGACCGATCCCGTCGAGGTATTGTTATTTGTATCAGTTTGAATGAAAATTTGGAATCGGTAAAAATGGTGCTAAAAAGCAGCTTTGAGATATTGTGTTTTAATCAGTTTAACACAGTAAAATAGAAGCAGTAAAAATTAATCAATCGAAATGTTATTAATCACATCCTCAAATAAATTAAATTTCCGTAAGTCAATCAGGAAATTTAAAAGTTTTTGAAAGTTTAATCTCAATCATTGGACCCTACCGATTTGGCAGATTGGACAACAGACAATCGTCTTCTACTTTTTTTGCAGTATATATTTTATTTAAAATTACTGAGAAAAACTTTAATTAATTAAAAGCATTTGTTTGTATTCGCAATATTGAGTATTTAAGTAGTTATTTCCTCCAACTGATTTGATGAAGGTAACTTGGAATTTTAAGGAACAAAAAAACACAATCAACGATGTTAAATCTTAAATTCATTAACGGTTCTCAACTTCAAAGCAATTCCACAAACCTTTCTCGGAGGTCGGAATCGTCCATGTTCATCCAGATAGCTTCGACACATCCCAAAGTCCAATATATAAATTCGTCGTAATTCGCAGAGTTTTTCACGACCTGTTGCGTAATTACTTGGTTTAATATCACTGGAAAAAATATCATTTGCTTTTATTAGATATCTAAGTGGTGGAAACCTAAGGAAAGTTTGCATGATAACGATAATTGAAGTATCGAGAATCACTTAACCACTTTAGCAATTTATATCTATAAAATACCGGCCTATTTAAAAAAGAAAACGACTAACTGTAAAACAGAAATAAGACTATGAAAACAAATGTTAATATATTTGCCATATGATGAAACTAATTTTTGAATTATTTCGATAATTAAATTTTAAGTTTTTTCTAAAACGCAGAAGAGAAAACCGATGCAAGAATCCGATAGCATGAAGTTCTTCGATTGCTTCTAAACATTGAATTCCAACGGACAGAGCACAACCCATTGAAAATTTCTGCCCCGGCAACTTTTTTCTTATATCCTCCAAATAGGGATGGATGTCACATATCGAACACGAAGAGATTATGTGATGAATTAGCAATATCAAGGCTTCTCTTCCCGTGGAAAATGTCTATCATTTCAAAATAACATTGTTTTAAAATTACACCTTGATGATACAGAACATTCACATAAGTTATAATTACAATAAAGCTAGTATTCCGTTCATTATAACTTTATTTAATTTTAAGTCGGAGTAATTAAAACCATCCATTAATTAATATAAATTGGGAGAGAGTTGTCAGTATTTACTGCGCTTAAAATCAATCATAAACCCAGCGCAGTCATTTAATGTTCCAAACAGGCATTTATACATTCCAAATGATAACTAATGAGAGACCCGTGGTAAAATTTTATCAGTGTTGTTGTAATTACGAATATGATCGGTGATATCGCTATTGAAAAGCTATTTCTCCTAAGCAAACCCCATATGCTTACCTGCAAACAATGTCCTACGAGTGTCATTACCAAATAGAAGCATTTTTTATAGATGCCTGTATCTTCGCATGTACAGAAATGCCTACTTTTTCGTCCATTCGCCAATTTAAGCACATAAACTTCCATTTTCAACAACTATAATCATTCATGCTATTAAAAGAGAGAGAGAGAGAGAGAAAAGTGAAAGTATTACTTATTCTGTGATTAGGAATAATATGAACCGTAATGGCAAACGATGAAGAATAAGACAGTGAACCGGAAGAACCGGACAAGATATTAATTAGATATTCCAATAACTGCAAGGAAACTTATGAATGAGTCACAGAAAAATAACACCAATAAAGAATGCCATCAAAAATCTATCATATCTTAATCTAAACTTAACGAACTTACTTTAACTTTCTCTTTTAAGCTTTCTGTTTTTAGTGCATAAGTTTCATTTCCTTTTGACACCTGCAAAGAAAATTGTTAATATGAGGAAAATTCCTTAGGCAAAAAATCATCAATATGTAAAATACGGATTAAAGAATACCATTGAATCGATATAACTGCGATGAAATTTTCGATAATAACCTTATAGACTGATCCAAAACCGCCTTCGCCAAGTTTTTCAACAACCGTCCATTGGTCCACTTTCTCACCTAATTGTAATTTGACAATGTCCGCCATTCGTATAGCTGCCACCCTGCATGAAGATATAGTAAATAAAAATGGATTTCGCTAGGAAGATTCTATTTTTATTACTTTTAGATGGCGAGACTTTATTAGGAGTATGTAAATTTTAGCATACATTAGTTGTTGTAGAGTAATAGAATCTGTGCTTGACATGTAGCAACCGAATTGATTCTCTTTGACCATCTGTTACGTGACCATCATCACTGCTATTACCATGCGACCATCATCAATATTATTGTTACGTGACCGTCAACAATAGTTTGTCGAATGACCATCATCAATACTAATGCTACGTGACAATCATCAACACCACTGCTACGTGATCATCATCAATATTGCTGTTACATGACCATCATCAATGCTATTGTTGCGTGACCATATCAATACTGGTGTTACGTGACCGTATTGTGTGACTGTTACATGATTGTATTGGAAGATTTGTAATTTGCAATGGCACATATATCTCGCGGTATGTCATCAATAAACATTGCTTTTGGCGTTGATGCCGCCGATGTCATTGAGAAACTTTGATTGCGTTGGTTTCCAGGACACTAATTATAGATGCTTGCTGTTGTTTTGCATGTTATTGTCACGCTAGAGGCTTTGAAGAGTGACCGTACGTAGGCTTGCCATAGTATAGGCTGGTTGTTCAAATGAAACGACAGTACTAAGGCTTATGCATATATTAGTAGCTGTAAATTAAGTCGATTTCAGCTGGCAATATCAAAAATTTTTCTTTGAAGAGCTTTTTTGTTTTGGAATTTTGAGATGATTTTTTGTATTTTTTCCCTTTAATGAGTAACACATTATATCATCGTACATTATTTCTTTTGATCGATTTTCACCATCCATTCATTCGGAGAGAGAAAGAGAGAGAGAGAGAGAGAGAAAGAGGCCGATTGCTTTTGAATAAGTTATTTGAAATTCTTTTCCCACAAAAGAAGTAGGCTTAATATGACCGGACATTCTTCTCATTGATCGATTTTCACCATTCGTTGATTCAAAGAGAGAGAGAGAGAGAGAGAGAGAGAGAGAGAGGGAGAGAGAGACCGATTGCCTTTAAATAAGTTATTTGAAAATTTTTTTTCAGATCAAAGAAATAGGTCAAGTATGACGATCGTATACATCTACGAAGAAACCGGAGATGATAGTATAATGATGGCAATGAATTGAATGAACATTTAAGGTGATTAATATATTTTCAAAGGATTATTTTAGACGGTCATGAAATTTTCCAAGAAAGTAATAGGAATTTTCAGCCAGTCGATGGATACACTAAGAAAATATGTTTGCAAATTGACAGTTATTGTGGAAGCTCGTTCGAATATATGTAGCATACTGTTAGGTTTGGCCAGGCAGTTTTATTACAAATATGAAATTTACTACATTTAGTCATAGTATATTTCATGACGTATCGATCTATAGTTAACTGTACTGATAGATCAGATTGTTCGATACTAATAGGAAACCAAAATTCTGGAATTAATGTAAGAAACCCAAATTCTGGAATTGATGCTATTGCCTGTGGTGTTGATAATGTACCAAACAAAGAAGCAGGTATCGACAAAAATGTTCGGCAATAGATACTCACTTATTTGAGGTAAAAATTCTGCTGCTTTGCTACGTTTAAGAGCAGCTGTTACTCGAGCAATGCAAGAATATGTTTATATTGCTAGCTAATTTGCCTCAGTCTTTAATTCAAACACAGTTATGCATTTAACGAAGTACTAAAAACTTTTGTTTATATATCGGTGGAGTAATATGAAAAATTTTTTCCAGGTAATAAGATGGATCGACGTTATTCGGAATTAATTACTTTGGTGAGCGATTTATTTTGCAAAATAGTCACAGCTGTGATGCACTGCTTAGTCTTACAGGTCTGTATTTTATTTAGAAAAGGTTTGGAAAAAATTTTGACGAATGCACATTTTATATACTATATTATATTATAATGCAACATTATATTCATTCCGAAGCATTTTGATATTAAGCGATTAGCAAAACGTGGAACTTTGTTATCAGTTAATAATTGAATGCTTTTTGATAGTGTTTTTTTTATAACTAAAATCTAGTAATATGTTGTTTAGAGAGTCTCTGAGATCTTTGTAAGCCGTTTCATTACTGTCTGAATTGCTTTTCAAGACTGCAGACTGAGAGAGAGAGAGAGGGAGAGAGTAAATTTGTTCCGCAAATGGAAGATGGTGTTTCTGTTTTGTAAATTAAAAAATTGCAGATTTTATTTAATTTTCTGAACGGTTTCATGACTCTTGTTATGGAGAATGCTTGTTTAAGATCGGGAAAATTCTCGTACTTGTCGGCACTTGGCATAGTATACACACGTTGTCCTTTCATAACGCTGGATGGATTTAATGACGGAAATTGAAGAATTAGTTTGCGATACAATTGATCGACTTCTGGCTGTTGTGCAAGCAAGAAAATTATTGGAATGCATTATTCCGGTTAGCTTTTTTTTCTAACCTTTTTTTCTTTCCTGAATATTTTCGAATTTTTAGCTTTTATTTTCACTTTCTCTAAATTTTTCATTCAAATTTGCGTTACTCACTTCTTGTTTATACCCGTAGGAATCAATTCTGTAATATGAAACCTGGAAAAAATTAAAAGCATGCGCTTTTTTTGCTCATGAAATTCTTTTTGCCTCTATATTTTTTCTCCAAAATTTAATGATTTAAATTTGACTTTTCTATGGAAATCATTCTAATAACAAAACTTTATGTCATGACTGCCTCTATCAGTATACTATCAGAAGTTATCATTCATTGACACTTTAACAGCACTACCTACAAATAAATTATTATTGCTCTTCATCCTTCTTTTTCAGAAATTAGAACCATCCAAACGGTCATTCTTAAAAGTGAGCGAAAGGATGCTATCAAGTAGTTAAAAAGGCGCAGTGTCCAAAATGAATTTGGTGAATTTGAGTTTTAGTTATGGCATCGCTGAGATTGCGGAACTTTTCATGATTGATACTGAGAACAAGGTAAGTATTTGCAGGATTATTTTCAGGCACATTACATTAAGCTAAGGTTTAGAATTGGAATTTATAAATGGTTTCAAAAGATTGACCTTGTTTGCTGGATTCTAATATGAAAAATCGACTACTCATTTTTGTTGACCATAGCGAAAGCAGTATAGGGAACGCATATATTTTAAATAGGATTTGAGAATTCCAGGAATTCGAACTGATTGGGACGATTTTTACTCTGTTTTTTATTTGTATTGTTAAATTATTATAGCCAATTCTACTCAACCGTTTCCCGAGCGAAATTAATGCATTTTGTTTGTAGCGGGGTGTGCAGAATAGTGGATTAAGAATCTGTTGATCTTACGACTGACATTGGTGAAGTTGTTGATAGCAATATAAGAATCTCGAAAGTATGTTCCTCAAAATTTTAGTATGCACATTTTGTTAAAAGGGATTTTCCAGAATTTGCATGTTCATTTTCTTCATTTTTATTAATAATTTTTTCGCATAGTTCGGTGAGTTTTCGAAAGCTTCTGAAAGTCTAAAAATTAATCCGAAACGCACAACTGGTATTTGGATCAACGTTTGTATGGCACCTGTCTATGTGGTAGATAGAACATTTTACTTATTAGTAATAAATGCGTATCACATTCAGGTTTATTTATTGGTTTACGAATGCATGCCACATTTGGGATGTGTGTTTTTATCTTCGTTTTATTGGTCGATGCGCTTTATGAATATCGTATTTAGGAATTTAGTTTCTCACGGTGTAATTAGTTTTTGAGGCAGTTGAAGTAATGAGATTTTTTGAATTGATATTGTTTTCTGCTTCTCAGTGATTTTCATTAGTACTGTTAGTATTGTTGAAAAAATATTGTTGTGCAAATTGAATGAATAATTTGTTACAAAAATGATTTTGTTGATTTTGTTATAATCATTGTTATTCTTTTTATTTGTTTCCTTATTCCTGTTTCTTTTTAATAAACAGATTGCACAATTGCGCCGTTGTGTGCTTGTATAATTGTAACTATGTGCTTATGTTGTCACACAAAATGGATGAGAGTATTTTTTTCATGTGACAAAACGCATCGATAAGGTTAGTTTTACATGAACCTATTAGCCTGAAATTGCGCAGTTTAATATTAGCTTTCTAATGTTGTACTCTTATAAGTAATAATTCTTAAGATGATATGTTAAAGTATGTCATTTGCGTAGGTTACTTGTTATTTGTATTTTAATACGAAATAAGTAAGCTGCTTTTAGGTTAAACTTTAGGTTATTGCTCAGCAAACCTGATTAAGGATTAAGGTAGTAGTAGCGAGCATATTTACTCCTTCGATAAACCGTAGCGTTCAATTCTCAACACTAGTTTTTAGATTTTGAATGATTTTCATAGATACTCCCTAATATTGAACACGTCACTCTAAAGTTGTTTCAGAACTGTATTCATAAATACATCGTCAAACTGTTTCCCTGCTTGTACGATTCTATTTTCACCAACAATGCCGCCAATTCCAAGTATCCCTCCTCCTTTGACTGGTAGCAAAGAGGGGTATGTTCTTTTAACTGTCATTTCTTATTTGTAATTTAAATATTCTTAGAAGATGTTGATATTGTTCGAATAAATATCACTAGACTTGTTCCGATAGTTTAGGTTCATTTCCTGGCACATTAATTTGAGATTAACATTTCTAAGCTTCCATATGTTTAATTCCTAAAATCTATACCATTATAAAAAGTTGTTGCTTGCAGAACATTCGCATTCTTAACTGTTCGCGATCGTTGGCCAAAGATACTGGGTAAAATTGTTGACACAGTATGTCGATATCGTCATACTCACATTGCTCTTCACGGCGAGGTTCATTAATTATTTTATCGCAGTAATCCTCATGTTTAGCCAAATTATTAGCTTAATTGCCTGACTTATACAAAATTTTTCGATTATATATTTTTGGGACAATATGTGCTGCATGTCTATATGGAATACCTATATATATATATATATATGCTATACATTTAAAAATTTTAATAAAAGTTTGTGGATAAAATCAATTTCTGTTTTTCTTATTATCAACTTTTTTACAATCAACTTTTTTAAAAATTACTTTAACGGTTTTACATGACATCATAAAGCATCGTTTATAAAGCATTTTATAAAACTATCCAAGCAAATTATCGACAACAATAACATGAAATGTGTATGTGTTACGTAGCCTAATCTGTGATTTTAGATTAGGTGCCGGAATCTCCTTGTGACTTATTTTAAAATAAAACATCAAAGTGCTATATAGAACAGTGATTAGCTTAACTATTAGCACTATGATCAAAGCGATATCTAAAACTTTCATGTGCTTCTCTTAATAAAATATCAGGAATATGGAATAATCAAATTCACTCGTATACTAAACACTGTCTATCGTAAAAAATTCTAAAATAAGGCCACTTCCCGAGATATCTAATCATACTAGTTCTCTCACTTCGCAGTGTTACCGATTGATGTTAACAGGCATTATAAATTAAATTTAGAATTTATGAGAGGAAAGAATCTGGAATAATTTAGAGGATATTTCTTCCCACATTTGCTTACTTCTTATCTAAGATTTCGGTAAATTGTGGAGATGTTGTAGAATTTTAGGAAAAAAAGCTGTATTATTAGGCTAAATGCAAAACAAAAATGAGTTGAATATGTTTTAAATTGTACTATACGTTAAAAATAATGACTGAAGAGAGAGCGTCATTATCGGATAGTTATTAATTAACAAGTACAGTGATGAGAGTTTAGATCAAATTAACTTATCATGGTGAAGAAATAAAAATCTCTGTTTGTATTGTTTTGATAAAGCTATAAAAAAGATAATGGAAAGCGGTAAGGAAAGCATAATGTGAAATGACTTACTGTCCTAGAAATTATCCATAGAAATGAACAGTTTGAGTTTCTACAAGTGAAGAGAATGCATAGAATTTTTGTAGTTAATTGCATTGCATTTTGATGAGATATTACAACTGATTTTGTTTCCAATTATTAATGAAAAGTTGCGATTCGAAAAATTATGGACCAGTTGTATATTCTTACTTCCTTAACATCAGCAAACTTAAAGTGTGTGTCTGGACGTAAATTTCGTGCAGTTTTTTTAGAAGTTGATATGATTGCTTTGAGTTTTGGTTATAGTACATTTTTATTTCAGGAAGGCGAAAAGGATATTAAATCGGTTCTCAGTCAGTTGTCTGAGTTGTCTTACCGTGTCTCCACCAATAAACAATTGCAAAATCTTAATGACCATGGAGAAAAGGTCGATATTTGGAATGAAGAATTGAAAGAATTGCAAATGAAGGTCCTTTCATTTTTTCATAAATATAGCTACAAAAACATTTTTTTGCTATTTAATTATTTTTGTTGAACTTCTTAATTGGATCTCTAGTTCTCAGAAATTAATTTTTTTTTGCTTGGAGCTTTTTGTCCTTAATTTTTATGGAATGTTTAGGAGTTAATAAGTAGCGTGGCCTGGTAAGTAACCTGGAAAGCACGATAAAAATAGAGTGCCACCAGTTTATGTTTCGGAAAGTATTATTCTTTTATGAGGCAGAAATAATAAGTTATAAATTTTTAAGATCTACAGGTTATGAAAAATAATATAATTGGAAAATGAATCTTGCAAAAATGATATTTTAGAAAGGGGCAGAACAAGTGACCTGGTATCATTGTGATTGGTTGTTTGCTGAGTGTTTTTTATATAGGCAAATAATGAGTTTGTTTTTGAAAACAACAACTCTGAAAGAATTTGATCCGTTCGCATCACAAAAACAGAGCTCTTTTATTGGTTGGTCAGTATTTCGTTTTTACTTTTGCTAGATATTTATGTCATAAACGATATTTTCAGTTATGCAGCGATAGAGCCTTAATGAGTGTATTGTTGAATGCTTTATGAAATGATCGATTTCTAGTTGTTCAATTATTTCCCCTGAAAAGTTATTACAAAAATCCTGCAAGTTTTCTACAAAATATGAATTTAATTTCAGCATTGATACAGTTAGCATTCTAGCAAAACACATTGAAGCAATGAAATCCGATGAAGCAAAAAGTGAACGTGACATAATTTTGCGTCTTTTTCAGGTATAACTTTGTTATCAGAACTAGGAAGTATGTAATTTAAAATCTCATTTTTTAAACAGAATACTTTTTTATCCAGTTTTCCTTGTGGGGAAATACGTGTGACTTGTCGCTTTCATGTGGTGAACGCGTTGCTTCATTGCCTCTTTTGGACATGGTCGATCAGTTGGCCGATAAAATCTTATGTAATCAGATTGATGAAGTTGATTACATTTTAAGGTAATTCAGTATACGCAAAAGTTTTCCACATTGTTAATTTTTAGTTGAACTTACATACAGTATTTGGAAATTA